CCAATCAGTCATGCACAAATGTGTAAACGTTCAACAAATGTACAAATATAAATTTATCATTAAGACAATTTGACTGTGCCTGCTGCACAGTTGTAGTGGCTGATGAGACATTTTCACTATTGCAATAGCATGTTAATTGTTAAAACACCATTGTGATGAACATATATAGATATATATAGATATACTTCCTTCCATACTTGATTGCTGTGGGCTGTTGTTTGAGAGTTGGTCCTAATGTGAATATGCACGTGCTTCTTCAATATTGATTATCAGCATTTGTCTATTAAGTCATGTCTTGCGTGTTATTGATGTCAATGAATGCCTCATTGTATTGTATTATGAACATTTGAAATTCATACCAATTTGATGTGAATGTGCAATAGTGAAAATTTAACATCAACAGTGAAACTCCATTGATTCAAGTACAACCATTCCGTTTGAAATAGTCTTAGGTTTGATAAATTTCCAGATTGAGAAATCATGTCACTTCATGTCCTTCAGCATTAACACATTTCTGGTCCCCAAACCACTGACACAAGCGCCCACAGCGATGTTTGCTAATATATTGGCTACTGAAAAATCCCAATTAGCACACTTCCGATTGATCAATGTTCACAAGTTTATTCGTGTATGATACGCGCTTGTGTGTTATATGTATATGTGTTATACGCATTTCAGGCTGTCATCATAAACGATGAATTTTACAATCTTTCAACTCTGTTTTTTTTTCTCACCAAAATTATATTCTAACAAGAGCCCCCTATTTCTAATTTTGAGAGCGCCCCAGGCGCTTTTTACCTCGAATACCGTAAGTCTATTTAAGATTTTGAGCTGCGCAAATCCATTTTAATTTTTATTTTGACCAACCCAAACAAACTGGTCTGCAGAAATCTGTAAACCATTAAATAATTAAACTGTGGCCTGCATAACTTTATGAAGGAAGTTGGTGTTAAGGGTAATCCTCCTGTCAGGTCTGTTATGTCCTCCGCGTGTATGTACTGTATGAAGGAAGTTGGTGTTGAGGGTAATCCTCCTGTCAGGTCTGTTATGTCCTCCGTGTGTATGTACTTTATGAAGGAAGTTGGTGTTGAGGGTAATCCTCCTGTCAGGTCTGTTATGTCCTCCGCGTGTATGTACTGTATGAAGGAAGTTGGTGTTAAGGGTAATCCTCCTGTCAGGTCTGTTATGTCCTCCGCGTGTATGTACTGTATGAAGGAAGTTGGTGTTGAGGGTAATCCTCCTGTCAGGTCAGTTATGTCCTCCGCGTGTATGTACTGTATGAAGGAAGTTGGTGTTAAGGGTAATCCTCCTGTCAGGTCAGTTATGTCCTCCACGTGTATGTACTGTATGAAGGAAGTTGGTGTTGAGGGTAATCCTCCTGTCAGGTCTGTTATGTCCTCCGCGTGTATGTACTGTATGAAGGAAGTTGGTGTTAAGGGTAATCCTCCTGTCAGGTCTGTTATGTCCTCCGCGTGTATGTACTGTATGAAGGAAGTTGGTGTTGAGGGTAATCCTCCTGTCAGGTCTGTTATGTCCTCCGCGTGTATGTACTGTATGAAGGAAGTTGGTGTTGAGGGTAATCCTCCTGTCAGGTCTGTTATGTCCTCCGCGTGTATGTACTGTATGAAGGAAGTTGGTGTTAAGGGTAATCCTCCTGTCAGGTCTGTTATGTTCTCCGCGTGTATGTACTGTATGAAGGAAGTTGGTGTTAAGGGTAATCCTCCTGTCAGGTCTGTTATGTCCTCCACGTGTATGTACTGTATGAAGGAAGTTGGTGTTGAGGGTAATCCTCCTGTCAGGTCTGTTATGTCCTCCGCATGTATGTACTGTATGAAGGAAGTTGGTGTTAAGGGTAATCCTCCTGTCAGGTCAGTTATGTCCTCCGCGTGTATGTACTGTATGAAGGAAGTTGGTGTTGAGGGTAATCCTCCTGTCAGGTCTGTTATGTCCTCCGCGTGTATGTACTGTATGAAGGAAGTTGGTGTTAAGGGTAATCCTCCTGTCAGGTCAGTTATGTCCTCCGCGTGTATGTACTGTATGAAGGAAGTTGGTGTTAAGGGTAATCCTCCTGTCAGGTCTGTTATGTCCTCCGCGTGTATGTAGTCACAACTCCATGCTTGACTAAAACTGAAGAATACATTTTGCAATGCTATGTCCCTGGCCTCTGTTATCTGATGAAATGATAACATGAAATATATATTCTAGTTCTGTTCTGATTGTTTAATTGCGTGCTCATGTAAATGACATGTGTTTTGTACAGTGGAAGGTACTTAAGGAAAATGTCACTAAAACGCCTTCATTATGTTTGTATTATTTTTTACTTTTTTTATTTTTTATTTTGTCTTTGTATGTTCCGCCATCTATTTCCAGTCTAGATCTGCATCCATGTTTCTTAAGCTTAAAGGGTAGGTTGGGTAGGTTATACACAATAATTAAGCGAATATTCTTCAATTTTCGACAGTAAAATATATAAACCTAATAGAAATGAATCTGCAAAATAAATAAAAATATAAATTCATAAGTTAAATTATACACAAAGATTACAATTTATACAAGATTTTTTTCTACATCCTTAAAGCACCTTGGCTTTTCTGATTAGTGCATGCTGTCTTCAAAGATAGTTTTGTCTTAACACATGTGAAGTGTGTATCTTGCCTTGTGAAATTAGAGAAGGCATACATATAAACAAAATTGAATTATTGTCATATTTCAGAACTTGTGTTATTGTCTCCACGTAATTCAGAAATTAAAATCTGTTGATGTCTTGTATAGTAGGGAAATCATAAAAACAGGACATTGCTCCCTCATTAGTGTGATTTTGTAAACAAACGAGGACCAATCAGGCCATCGAGATGGCCAGCTAGTGTGTTGATGCATTGTATGTAACCGAAGCCGAATACACAAATATCAAAAACCAATAGCTCTTGTCTTTGTCATTTGGCAAAAAAATGGTTTCAGCGTTATTCAGTACTTGATTAACTCTGTTACACATTAATGTTGTGCCCAGTGTCACGTTAATAATCACACAAAAGGGAAGAAACATAATCATGTTGTTTTTGTTTACTTCAAGAAAATTTTCACGTACTGTTGCCTTTTAAGACCAGTCCAGTACCACTTACTTCTATTATGTATATCGACATGTATTCTTAATTCAGTGTTAGAAATTGGCACTAGTCCTGTAGTCCTTGCCAAACTGCCTAATAGTTAAGGTATCATAGGGACTAGTAGAAATTTACCTGTTTGAAGGGTTTTGCTATATGTTATCATTATAAGGACTAGTGGTCTAAAAGTGTTAGTTTCTACCTAATTCCTCTCATCACACAAGGACCCACAGCTGTGGAGACATGAAATGTCTGAATTGTAATGTATAGCGACCAGGGTACACATTATGTTGAATTCTGCACTACAACTAGCAACAAAAACTGCATTGTGAGTACTGGCAGTGTAGTCATCAGTGTCACCTGCTTCAGTGGCTGCACACTACATGAAATAAGGCCCCTGTGTTCTCAAACTGTTCCCACATGGCTTGGTGACGTGTCCACTTACATTAATGACATGCTTGTGGTCACATGCGTACATAGCTGTCAGTCAAGGCATACTACATGTTGTCAATAGCCAACTTCAAAACCTGCTTTTGGACAGAAATTGCGTAGTTGGGTTATACAGGGTTTTTTTGCTTTTTATCCTGATTGTGGAAGATTGTGTCTGAAACATTCTGCTAGAAGTGTGGGTATTGCACGGTCTCACTGTAAATTGTTGTTTGGAATATATATATGTGATCAAACATGATTGAAAATGCTTTTACCAATCTCATTATAATCAGATCTCAGTTCTCGCTACCGCTAAACAAAGATCTGAGGACATCCTATTACGGGTCATGTCAGACCGAACTTGCATGAACTTTGACCCACCAGTGGAAGGATTGACAAGAAGTCGACATAAGTGAATCGTAAGGCAGCTTTCTCGTGATTTACGGCACTGGCTTCAAACCATATTTTGAGAAATTCTCGATTAAAAAATTGAAACCTAAATGGAATGGCTAATAGATGGTCTAGATTGTATGGATTCAGTAACTATCATTCAGAATATCCCATGTTAAAGTTTTCGAGGTTGCATGATTATAAATCACATTCCGACTGTCACGTTCATGATCTGGTAAGCGATGCTCTGATTGGTCGGATGAAAGGTCATTCTGACGTGACCCCTAATGGGATGTCCTCAGATCTTTGTTTAGCGGTAGCGAGAACTAAGATCTGATTTTAATGAGATTGTGCTTTTACCAGTGTTCGAAATTAAGGGGGTCCTAAGGTTTACCCCGAAATATTTGAACCCTCCTCAATGTTTAACATTGTGGATCATGACAAGGTCACCATGACTTTCATGCTTCATTTCAAACACTATTTATAAATACATAATTTCTTTCAACACACAGTAATCATAGATGAATGTTGAATGAATATATTGATACTTATATAGGTAGTGGTAATGCAATGACCCAATACAGCACATAATCTCACAGCTGGCACACACTATGCCAGAGCTATGGATGAAAGAAAATAATAAAATAGACTCTCCAACGTGGTATACTGATCCAACATATACCGGGTTTTCTTTGTGTCCTGCTAGCTTCCTAGTCCTCTCTCCACACGACAGATTTCTTGAACATCACAGCCACTTCCTGGTTGAAGCAAATGACATGACATTTCAGAGGGTTTTCTAAGTTGTAAGAACTTGTTCCAAATCCATTTCACTTACATGAATACAAACTGTTTAAACTATGTAAATAATAATTGCCGTTATTAGTATTATTGTTTTTTCATAATTTTCATTATCAAAGCAATTGAGTGTGCGGAACCACATTGACTCAATAGTCTCCTTTGTCATTAATAACAACTTTAATATATCAACGCCACTGCAATAATAAACAAAAATATTATTGTCACTGAAACAAACGATGCTCATGTTTGCTGTGAATGTACCTAATGCTGACAAACACAGTGTTACATACACCGACTTTATTTCCAATGTTTGACAGGATGGAAAGTTTACTGGGAACATACTTGTACCTAAACAGCAATGTACTAGGGGTATCACGATACGCCCACCGTAGGTATCGATACATATCCCAGTACTTAAGTCCTCATACTTTGATTGCACTGTTGTTGCATGACATTCTCAATGCTCCATCCGGCTACCAAGAGGTTGTCACTATCAACCAGTTTGTGGTAACTCGCACAACTGGTTACTCCAGGCTTGTTTAGTGTTATGAAATCAGATCTAACATTTTCTTGTATGACCTGGGAATGTAACACAGGCTGGGCTATAGCAAAAATTTGTAAATTATGACTTGTTGAATATCAATATAGAATTATATCCCTGGTCGATACATAGGTAGGCGTATCGTGAAACAATCACAATGCTTCAATACAATGTACCCCACTGCTGAAACACATAGTTCAGTGACATAGAAATATATGACTGATAGCAGGATTTTGATTACCCCATATGTTTGGTAATTAGCAGCACAGACATAATGAGAGGACGCAGTAAATGCTTGTCACAGTCTGAATCCACATTGAAAGATTTACTGTATGCTAAGTCACCTTGTCCCAAGTTATAGCAAAACATTGATCTCCATTACCACGTTTTACTTTTCATTATTCAAGTCTGTTGTTGACAAATATGGTGATCAGTACTGCTTGCTTGCAGGAGAGGTACCATGAATCATGACAAATACAGTATTTATAATAACCCAGTACTAGGAACTTGTATCAAATTGCTCAGATACAGTATTTGTGTGTTGAAAATATGACATGGTTGGAATCTTTGGGAGTAAAATGTTTACAGTAAAATCCTCTCCTATATATAATACATATGTTGCTGCTTGTGAAAGTGTCCAGTTGTGTTGCATATACTGAGCATCAAAAGAAATGCACCCTCGTTGGTCTATAATTACTTTCTTGTTTTGTTGTTGATCAAAGAAAACATCTGAAGAATGTTACAAGAATCCAAACACATCCAGCTCTCAGCATATTCAGAAACATTTCCACTTTCTGTGGATTTCATGAAAGCATTGGTAAAAAAGCACTGATACATTGCTCATCCACAGTAATCAACATGTGCACGGTACAAACTTGGAAAGTTCTTGAAGGTAACTTTGTTCCTGAAAAGTAAAAAAATAACTGACCATTTCTCAAACAAGGTGCTTGAAAAGAGCTGAAATTGTATTTGGGCTGAAAGGATTTGAACACACAATATGCCACTGATTTGCAAGAATATTTATCGCTCTAATTACACATAGAGATTACAGTTAGGTGATTGAGCATCATTCCCACTGGCTCCCAGCAAATGATACCGATACGATGGAGGAAAGTATCACGTGACTGTTTCATATCCACTCTTGTGACTAATTAGCCTCTTTTATAGACATAAACTAGTCCTTGAAAAAAGGTTTTTAAAGAGTTTGAATGTTGACCTGAAACATCTGTATGAATACTAAAGTGAAACAACATGGTTTTACAGCTAGACTTACAGTAAGGTAGCAGAACATAATAACAAACTCTGTTTTACAGTTTTCAAATATCTTTAAAGCTGGAAATTATGAAATAAATGCATGATTACTAGAACATAGAATTATTTTGACAATTGTAAAATCATTTATTGACATTTGATATCCAATACTGTTATAGTGACAAATAGCAGTAAAATAATATTTATATATAAATATAAAAACCCTCTATGTGATACTTACATAGCTTGTCTATAGTATGTCCATTGCACTTGATGGTCACTGGGTAATATATATATTCCTGTACACATGCTAATCCATTTCAGTGATATTTACAACACAAACTTGACAAGGCTTGTCAATAAACTGTCAAACTATGTACACGAAATTGATATGTGATTTTCCATGAAGCTCATCAATGTCAGTTGAGGTGCCTGTGATTGACAGGGCATTTCCTTGTTAATTGCATGAATGTCTTTTGGGATTTCTCTTTTATTTTATAGGATGATTCATGGACAAAACCATTATTTTACGTCAATTTCACATTAATTTACCAAATATTAATGTAAATTGATCAGAAACACTACAATGGCTATCTATAAGTCTCAAACCAGTTTTTATCTACAAATTTGCATATAGTAAATATTTTGACCAGTAGCAACCCAAAACAGAATATATGATTAATAGTTTCTATAACTCTCTTCATAATTTGGTGTTCTCGATGATTTCTGGCTGTTCATCTGGTATGTTCCTCATCCCAGGACGCCCGCCACGATTCATGAAAGAGTTGTTACGAAACAGAGGATTGTTGATGACACTCCTGTCGTCACTCCGGAGCTCTGGTGGCACTCCCCCATGCCAGTCATTGACTGTGTCACGTTCATCGAACCCGTTGCCTACATTGTCCAGTACAACCCCCTTCATTTTCACTGTCCACTGACTATTGATGTTGTTATTCGGCTTCTCTTGTTTCGGAATTTCCAATCCAGCCGGATGAGCTCCGATCAGGAGAGGAGCTTCAAGTTTGACTTCAACCCCCCCTGTTAACTCCACCCGAAACTGGAAAAGATACGACAGGTCGATAATATCGCAGTATTCCAAGTTTGATTCCGGTATGTATGGTGGAACAGTGAGACGAACATATGACCATCGCCTTCCATCATTGTAGGTTAGGTCATACTCATCGCGTTTCTTGTTTACTATCTGTCGAAAGTTTGTGGTGTACTTCTTGGCATTGTATGTACTATGCATGATGATAGATGCCTGAACGGCAGTGATCGTACGCCGACTTTTGTTTTTCACTTCCGCATGAACAAACAAATCTTCTCCCGGCACGCCACCTTGTTTGTTAAGTCCGGCTCGAACATAAACATTCCCGAATGTGCACGAAGCCCAGAAACACTGATTTCGTTCCAATTCTAATGGTGTTTCTATGAAATCTGGCAAAGGACTCCTCCGTAAACACAGAAACGGCTCACTTGTAATAGCTTGGTCAATAGACTTGTCTCCCTTGACCGTGGCTTTCATTAGGTATGTTACACTCCCGTATTTTCCGATGTACGAAGACGGGAGGTTTTCAGGAAGCTGGTATTCGAAGGGGAAGTCGTTGTTGCCGACGTGAATCCCCTTCGGTCGTCCTCCCCGAGCGTCAATGACAACTTTAGACGCGTTAATGTATGTCTCGCTGGCCGTGTACGTCTCTCCGGAACTCTCATCGTCCCACCCGACTGAGCCCTCCCCCACTATCGTGATGAATATTGTCCTTATGAAGGTGGGTCTGGAGGATTTGATACATATGGCGCCACGCACCACCTCGCCCGGTTGATACTGATACTGCTCGTCAATATCATGTTCCAGAGTGATTGACAACTGCTCAATTGCAGACATGTTGTGTGGTGTGTTAATCCAGTTGGTGGGATACAGATTTAGGGCTCGCTGTTTGTGCTGCTTCAACTACATCACAACATCACTGTTGAGGTTCAAGTTCCAGATCTGAAATAGAATTATCGTTATTAAGTATTTTGTTGACAAATAGTTCAGTTTTGCTGTTAAAATGACACCTAAAACAATGTTCTGACTAATACCTACGGATGTACCCTTTACATGTGCAAATTCTTGTCAAACTTGCCACCATGTTTCACGGTTACAAAAAGAATATTGTGTTCTGATTTACAATCCACAGACTCGTACATCAGTGTATGTCTGACACTCCCACAGCAAACCAAAACCCATTGCAGAAAACACACAGCTGTGCTCTGGTTCGAAACATCGGAAAGATTGTTCATATTTTTTTACAATACCCTCACAATCACAAGAATGAAGATGTTGTTAACCTGTTTGAAGTCGGAAGTTTATAGCAACTCGTATACCTGGCGTAACTGGTGTAACTGAGTGTCTGGCGTGATCGACATGAATAATAGATACATTGATTCTTCACTAATTAATACAGGCTTTCTCCTTCCTTAGATTAAACGAGATGAAGTAGACTATGTCACATTTCAGACCTCTCAATCAATAAATGTAATTTGACTGACCTCATAATGGGGACCTCAAGACAGAATCGCATACTAATGAGATTAACAAAGCGACAAATGTTTGCGCTGGTTTTGTTGCAGCTAATGCTGTTGCTGTTTGTTGCGGTTGCTGTTTGAACAAAAGTGCACGAAATGTGCGACTGCTGCAGTCAATATCAATGTATTGTGATTCAATTCGCTCTTTAAGTACATTTGCATGTTTATCAAAGAAATGACGATGTCAAGTTAATAAAATTAAAATCCAGTTTAGACCATAATTAAAAGATGAATACAAAATGAAATTATAATTTAACAAGCAATTTACTTCTCACCTTTTACTTTGACTATGAAATTATTAACATTCTTTTTTAGGTAGGATGTCTTTTGAAAATCCTTATAACTCCATATAACTGAATGTTCTGTTAAGTTGTGATAAGATTTAGATGAAAATAGAGGGTAAAAGGGCATGAGAATTATTTCGAAATCATAAAACCTTTTGAGAAAGTCTTTCCTTGCACGGGGTACATCATGACTTGAAGAAAGCTGTTTGGTGTTGACTAATTGTGTTGGTTTGTACACACTGTTTGGTCTGGTGGCCACATGACAATGGACGTTAGGTTACCCAGTGCTGTTCTCCCAGGTCAACTCAATCGACAGGTAGTTTAGATTTAAAGATTGAATATGTAATATGTTTACTTGTATCCAGTTTGTCTGCATTCAATCTGACACCACTGGAAGGGGTTACCATGTTTACAGAAGTTACGATAGGTGTATTCATAAAACCTGTCACATATTATGAGGGTGGAGATGGAAGATAAACTTGATATAGTTTGTAACTTTACTACTTTTAGATCCCCCTATTTTTAACAAATTTTGAAGGGAATTTGAAGTTTGCAATATGAAAGTAATTTTCTTTGAAAATGGGAGTGAATAGGTTTTTGGTGATGTGGATTATTTTTTAACTATTACATAAAAAATGAAATATTTATTAATGTGTATCAATACCCATGCACAGGTTTTAGGGGTGGATGGGTAGGTGGTTGGGTAGGTAGCCTAGTGGTTAAAGTGTTTACTTGTCATGCCGAAGACCTGGGTTCAATTACACACATGGGTACAATGTGTGAAGCCTATTTCTGGTGTCCCCCCTCTGTGATATTGTTGGAATATTACTAAAAGTGGCGTAAAACGATACTCACTCATCACTTGTCACTGTTTGTGATGACAATCCCTGTCACAAGAGATGTCAACTTAATGACACTTTTAACTTGTTGTACAAGACTTAATTCAGTAATAGTGGGAAGTAGCTTTCACATTTAACTGATTGTTTCTGAAATGAGATTTGTATGCGACATTGAGCTTTTGAACCTCTCTCTTCTATTAGTGAGATCAGCAAATATTGCCTCAGTAGGTACACATGTTTTCATTCAAGCTTGAGAAGTGCAATCTTGGATAATTTCTGTACATCCCCCGGGTGTGTCATCGGAACACAATGTTATCAACACCTTTCATTGTTCGTAATATCAATTAACATAGTGACAGCCTGAGGGGGTGTAATGCACCACTGGAGGGTGTTGAAGCGTACTGTGATCAGCTGACTGGGATCACCTCCATCACTTGTCCATCAGGTGTACATTGCACATGTCAATCACTAACCAGCTGCTATTTCAATGCATGGAAATATAATCATTATCTTTTCATAGACCATTAGTGCGGAAGGAACGGTTCTTTTATTTGATGCTTGAACCAAATTCGATAAGAAACTTGTCAGTTCTGGTGTTGATTGATGGCTATGCAAGTGTTGATTGTAGGTTATCCATGAGAGAGTATCGGGACGGATGATGACACTGGTGCTCTAATGCACACATGTCTGTCAGTATTGACTCTGTAACACAGCAGCGTACATAACAGCAAATATTGTCATAGCTCCGACCCAAACTAAATAAATATTTTAACACCTTCCTATTGACACGATATTGTATATATATAATGTTTGGTTTAATAATTTCATGTAGGGTATTGTGCGAATGATTACAATGTGGTGAGGTTGTATAATTTTGGATGTATATTTCTGTAGTGAAATGTACTTTGACAAGTCTGAGGGGCTTGAAGTCAACGCAGGTGTTCATATATTCAATAAACTGGAGGTTTCAAACTCAAGGCACAGAGATGTGTTATTAACTGTGTTGTCTGACTAAGGGTTAGGCAAACAATAGTTTTATTCAGTTCCATCATCATATTTCAATTTGGTGCAATGGACTTTTTTCTTGATTTTAGTACACATATATATGTTAGTCACGAAGTTCTTGGTTTCATATTGCAATTTTACCCAGACTTTTTAACAAATCAGATTTTGGCAGCCCCACATTTGTCTTGTACAATGAATAATAAATGACTATGAACGAGACATATTATGTTACAGTTAAGCTTGATGTCGGCAGTTGTAAATCGTCCATATACATGCAAGAAGCAAACATTAAGAAAGCTGCCTTTGTCTGCATGAGGTGAAAGCTATTCCATTAATTTGTAGGGAATTCATGCCATCTTTACATTTCAGCCAAACAATTGTTCATTCATGATTTGTCGCAAGTGTCACTTTCAACCTCTCTCACAGCTGCTGAAGTAATAAATGGCCAGTTAATGATTTTTGGGGTTATATTGTAGGGGCTAGTTGAGAGTGTGTGAGTGAGGCGACTTTAGCAATATTCAAACAATATCATGGCAGAGGACATCAGGAATGGGCTTTTTAACCATGGGCCGAACCCAGGATGTGGATGACAAATAAATGGCCCAGTTATCTTATCAGTTTACTTGGATGCATCATAACACAAACACAGCCTGAGAATGTGCCAGACATATATCCCCGTTCCCATGTTTCATGTCACAAGTCTGTATGTGTACAGTCATAGGAACGACTCAGTGGTTTCAAAAGATTTATGTACATAACTTGAGAATTAACTTCCTTGAAGCTAAGAAACAGTAAGTTTTAAAAGCAGCACAATGCAAATATATTCTGACTTGTTTATGTTGCTTCTTTAAGCTGGCTGAAATTCTCATCATGAGCAGCCCAACCTGTTAAACAAGTTCATAAAACACAATGTCAGGTCAACATTTGCCTTCAGTTTTAACATGTTTGTTTCCTAGACTTTCAAAACGTCTTAATACAAAGATACATTTGAAAAAGAGGATAATAAATTGCTCATTTAAAAAAGGATTCCCTAGCATTCTTGGTAACAATATTTATATACATGCTGAGACACACTGATTTTTCCAGAGGCAAATGTTATTTGTTCATCAAGATAACTTTTGAAAGGACATTCTTCTATTTCAATATCAAATTTCTCAAAAATATTTGGACATATTGCATGACAATGAATCAAGATTGGTGTCCCAGAAAATCACCCCGTCTGAAATTTTGTAATGTTTGTAACATTTTTCAATATCACTTAGAAATAAATGACCTGATTTGGGATTGAAAAGAGATTGTTAATGTTGATCATATGGTAAAAGATTTTTCCTTTGTACATTGCTGAAATGAAATTCACAATATACTGGTACGGCTACCAGCATTCCAGTGTAGGCTATATATATTTACTTGGTTGTCAGTTTTAATGTACTACATGTATAAATACGTCGTACTTTAGCAATGAGATCAACAACATCATTCATTGTTATCACTGTTGTCACAATACAGCATGAAATACATTTCACTTCATCTGAAATGAACGACTTACCTACCCGACAGTCTGAACCGGTCTATATCAGTGGAGCATGAGTTGTCAAGTTTTCTATTCAATAAAGGGTGGGGTGACATCTACCCACTACTGCCATGTCTTCTGTGAAATAGACACTTGTACATATCACTCGTCAATTTCACATGCACAACATACCTCAACAACTGTATTCTCTCCCAGAAACTTGTCTTTGGTCAAAGTGTATATTTCACAAGCTGTTGATCACTATGTGGTGGTGTTATACATTCTAATCTCTGCTACCCCATCCTTACTGGGTCAGTCTGCATTATAAGGAGCGGGTTGTCAGTCAAGCAAGAAGGACTGTAAATGCTACCCACGCTATTTCGGGATCATAAAACCTGTTTTTCCAAGCCAGTGAAGAAAGATCTCAAGCTGGATGAATAGCTAGCACACCTGATCTCGTTAGGGTCTGTAGCCTCAGTGCAACCTCAACCAGTCACATACACAAGCACTTGAGCTGCTGTGACAATGCTGAAAAGCTTCAAATAAAAGCTATCATTTTCAGACTTGGTGCTTCTGTCATAGCCATTCGTTTGTTAGTTGACATGTTGTCAAGGAACCTACCTGTCTGGCACAGTTGTATCAAGGGCTCTGATTGGATGATAAGAGACTATGGGTGGCTTGTGGAGGAGTGACTCTAAGCCTGAGCGATGTTAGTGCTGGCTTGGGGTATCAGATGTCATTAACGAGACTTCTCTAACGAGGTTACGTAATAATTTGTTTGCATTGTTGCTTGAGCAGTGATCACTGGGTAAAGTGTGCTCTTGCATGTCATGTACAATTGTTTCATTTTCAGCAGTAGAAACTAACAGGTTTGATCCACTAGTCCTTATTAATGATAACATATAGTAAAACCCCTAAAAAGGGGAAATGTCTACTCGTCCTTATGATACCTTAACTATTGGGCAGTTTGGCAAGGAATACAGGACTAGTCCAATTTCTAACGCTGCATTTTAGGAAATTCACTTAGATTTGGAAGATTTGTTTTAAAGCGGCACTGATCTATAGCAAGTCCCCAAGACTGGTTGTTGCCTTTTTATTTTTTTCCCTGTGAGTGCCTGGATGATATCCCAGAAATCTTGACTAGTTCGCGACTGGTGCTGCGCCACCAGTAAGCACATTAGTCACTTTTATTGATAGTATAAGGGTGTATCGTCACATTGGTCAACAATATGAAATATAGTTTTGTCTTGGGAACAATAAGGTACCTTTAGGGTCGGCATCGGTAATGGTGACAAAGTTTTGATAAGTCACATGCTTGGTATTGAGCAGTTTTCATTTGCACTTTTGTGACTTTTAACACAAACTAAATATTTTACCTGATTATTGGTTATTTTATCATTTGTATATGTTATAGTCAATGTGTAAAACGAGTAAAAATTTCACTTATGTCACTTATAAATGCCAAAATATTCTCTTAATTTACTAATTGACCGAAAAATCGGTCCAGTTGCTTTGTTATGATAATGAATTCCAAACATTTTGATGTTTTATTTCATCACCCAGTGACTGAAAATGATAGGATTAAAAGAAAACTAAAGTCAAAGTACATTTCTATCATCCTAATTGGTCTATTGTGATGTTTTAAGCCCTTTGAACGTCTTAATAACTTCTTAGTCAGTCAGTTAAATAAATGGACAGATCTGTTTGTCAATTTGTAAAATGACTGAAATATTAAGACATTTTATAAATTTCCTGAGTGAATCACATTTTACACATTGACTGTAACATATACACATGCCTGCGAATTAAAAGGCTTGTGAAAACAACGCCTTTGTGTTGTCTATTTTGCATCAAAGATCTTCCCAACGAAAAGTAAGAGGAACAAGAACAATTCTGTTCAATGCAACAGCAAATGAATGAAACAAAATGCAAATATCGTAATTAAAACTGACCAAAGTTATATGTGTAGTATTAAGCTGTTACTTTGTTCAAGGAATGTTTCCGTCAATACCCACTGAGAGAAACAACATCCCATACACCTGCAGCTGTACAAAGAAACCCTTTTCTATGTCACATGTCAGAATATTTCACCCAACTTTAATCCTGGATTTAGGTTGAATAATTAGGTCATGTAAAATATACCCCACGCTTGGATATTAGTCATAGGTGATGTGAAATATACCACACCCTTTGGACATAGGTCATGTAAAATATACCCCACCCTTGGGCATAGGTCATGTAAAATATACCACACCCTTGGACTTAGGTCATGTAAAATATACCACACCCTTGGGCATAGGTCATGTAAAATATACCACACCTTTGGACATAGGTCATGTAAAATATACCACACCCTTGGACATAGGTCATGTAAAATATACCACACCCTTGGACATAGGTCACATAAAATATACCCCACCCTTGGACATAGGTCATGTAAAATATACCACACCGTTGGACATAGGTCATGTAAAATATACCCCACCCTTGGGCATGGGGCATGTAAAATATACCCCACCCTTGGACATAGGTCATGTAAAATATACCACACCCTTGGACATAGGTCATGTTAAATATACCACACCCTTGGACATAGGTCATGTAAAATATACCCCACCCTTGGGCATGGGTGATGTAATCCTTATGGAGATAGGAAATACAAACATGGTGATCTAGAACTGTCTATAGTTCCTTCTGTACAAAGTAATTAGTGTTAGAGCGTGGCCTGTTTCCACCCTGTGTCTGACTTGTCTCTCAGCAGTAACGGTATTTGCAGCCTCCACAACTACCTCACCACAGCTTTAGATAAACTGTTGGATTTTTGGGGTAGTTTACCCAGGGGTTGATTTTGATTGAGTATTCAAGACTTTTGTACCATGTTTCGTGACATTTGGGTATTTAAACATGTTTCGTAACAATTTCTAGTGTATTTCAGGTGGGAAATGATAGGGAATTTGGTTACAGATGGTAAATGGCAGGTGTGTGTTTCAGGTGGTAAATGACAGGTATGTTGGTTTGAGAATGTTATTTCATATTAGCGGTGATAACTGATACCATGTAGTGATTTGTGTTTATTCACTATGTGACTCGTGAAATATTTCCGGATTTACTGTAATTGTTTTGTAACAAAAGAGTATCAGCAGACAACCCCTGTCTGTGACTTCACATACGGTGACCTTTGCACTTACTAAAACATTGCTGTCAGAACTCACAATTTTTATTTTCATTTCTCTCTCGTCATATTCAACGGAAATATGAAAACAAAACACTCTTCGATTTAGAAGATCATCAACTTTCGCCAAGGCATATATATGAAGACAATATAAAATTTGTTGATATTAAAATAGCAATAAGTTTCACTGAGGTCCAATGAAACCTGCCATGTTTGATTTTCATACATCTGCTAACATTACGACACAGGATTTGTTCTTTTGTATGGCGAAAATATCCAACCAAAACACTTAACATTATGATTGGTGATTATTAAAAAAGGCGTTTATTGTATCCTGAAAATTTCATTACATGACACGTTAGATTAATCCTTATATTCTCATTTCTGTAACTGACACGATGACCTCGAAAATGGCAGGCATGTGTGTTACAGGTGGTAAATCATAGCTATGTTGGTTACAGATGGTAAATGGTAGGTGGGTGTGTTACAGGTGGTAAATGATAGCTATGTTGGTTACAGATGGTAAATGGTAGGTGGGTGTGTTACAGGTGGTAAATGCAGGTGTGTGTGTTTCAGGTGGTAAAGGCAGCTGTGTGTGTTTCAGGTGGTAAATGATAGCTATGTTGGTTACAGATGGTAAATGCAGGTGTGTGTGTTACCTGTGGTAAATGATAGCTATGTTGGTTACAGATGGTAAATGGTAGGTGTGTGTGTTTCAGGTGGTAAAGGCAGGTGTGTGTTTCAGGTGGTAAAGGCAGGATTGTGCGTTTCAGGTGGTAAAAGCAGGTGTGTGTGTTTCAGGTGGTAAAGGCAGATGTGTGTGTTTCAGGTGGTTAAAGCTGGTATATGTAGCTGGTATAAAGCTGGTATATGTGTTTCAGGTGGTAAAAGCAGGTGTGTGTGTTTCAGGTGGTAAAGGCAGATGTGTGTGTTTCAGGTGGTTAAAGCTGGTATATGTAGCTGGTATAAAGCTGGTATATGTGTTTCAGGTGGTAAAGGTAGGTATGTATGTGTTTCAGGTGGTTAAAGCTGGCATATGTGTTTCAGGTGGTAAATGGTACATCGGTGTGTTACTGGTGGTAGACAATGGGACATGGGTGTTGTAGACCAGTAAGTGTTTCCCTTCCAGAGCTACCAAACAAACATGACTGCGTCACTACCTTGTGATCTGTGCAGCCACACTTATCATATCATTCATTCTGTGTAACGCCTACACGTGTTATACTTCATACTTGTTATGTCAGAAGTTTTGGATATGTAAGGATTTCTTTTGGTCTCTGTGATTATTTTTTTTTTGTGAATGTCCCGTTGTTGACATGCGTCTCATCAGCATTAAATATTTTAGACTACACATTTAGCTTCAAAAAGTTGTTTGTCTTGTGTCAAAATGTCTCATACGCTCTCAGCCAGAACTAATTCTCCAAAGCTTTTTCAACATGACAACTATCACATATGCTCTGCTGGACTATAGAAGTCAGGCCAGATTCTTCATATTTCTTGGTTTGGAGATTAGTTTGTAAATATAAAAAGTCATGCTGAGTAGGTGGAGGATAAAATAAACTGAAAACACTTTTCAGAATATTTTTTTTGTTCTTCAAAACAATATCTGAATATGTTGCAATTTATGCATGATTGTCACATCATTTTACCTACCTAAACGGTAAATAAACATGTCTGGTGATTTTTTATCTCAAATTTCGAATTTGTACTGACGAAGTTTCTCAGCACCCGTTCGTTTGCCGGACTTCGCTCAAAGGGTACGGTGTAAAAAATTTCTGCGCATAATATTCAAATTTCTTTTTTTCCAAAATATTGAACCCGCTAGAGGGGGGTGCGCATTATACATGGGTGCGCACTATACTCAAGAAAATACGGTATTATAACCTATTGTCTTGCAGTTTTACCCATTGTAACCTATGTCTTGTTGTTTTATCCGTTATAACCTATTGTCTTGCAGTTGTACAATGTGAGAGGCCCATGTCTGGTGTCCCCTGCCGTGATATTGCTGGAATATTGCTAAAAGCGGCGTAAAACCATACTCACTCACTAACTGTAAATAATCCGTGTGTGGACAGGACAAAGTATTGGTTATTATATGTCAGGGTGCAATGATACCAACAGCTTTTGACACTGAGCGCAACTGAAATTTTGATCAATGAGATCTTGCATTTACACAATGGAATGATCCAACGGCCACACTTACCATGTCCATAGTAAAGGATTGGAGTTTGTACAGCCAGATGTCTTTGTTTGCTCAAAATCTGTATGTAGAACCCCTTACAATAAACAATTGACAACCATACCTTGCAAGTTTAACCAGAATCACAACTGAAGACTTTGTTAAGTTGTGAGTAGCATGTTTGGCATATTCGTCAGTCTTCACCTCTCCTTGCGTGTTATTTACAAAAACATTGCAAACCAATCCACATGCTTGGATCATAAAAGCAAGTGTGCTTTCAATATAAATGTATAAAATATTTACTCTTAAGCAGCCAAATCACAGAAAATTGAAAAAGATGACCATATATTTTAAAATGCCAACTTGCGCAAATACAGAATAAATGTTGACGTGAGGGCAGGGGTCACTTTCAGCTTGTCCTTGAATATCAGGAGTGGACATGAAAGATGTTTGTTTGCTAACAAGTCAGCTTGAGATTATCAATTCACAATGTTAACATGTTTACAGATCAATGAGATCTGTGCAACAGGCGTGTAAGCCATCAGTGACCCATGGTCTGATCAAACGTCAATACAGACCAACAGCTTCACAAACATAGGTTGGCCTTTGTCTAGAGTTTGTAAATAGTGATGTGTGAAATTGAAACAGAATCTATATGTAATTAAAGTAATTGTCCATAGTAAATGTCACTCATCCTTCCAGAATTTTACTTGACTCAGACTAGCAGACCCATATATTTCAAACCCGGCTGTTTTAGTGCCATACATTATCCTTTAGATGACTTGATTTCTAGACTCGCTGAGGCATGACCGCCTCCGGGGTCTAGTGGTAGAGCGTCCGCCCAGAGAGTCAGAGGTTCGATACCTGGCCGCGTCATACCAAAAGATGTTACTTGTTGTTACCCTGCCTGTCGCTTGGCATAAAACAAGGACTAGTCAGTACACTGTGTCTGAGTGGGGTATTCGTGTTAAACTACGGCATGGTATTTCAGTGGGCTAGCACTTTAAAATCAGCTTTAGTCTGGACTAGTACAAGCAGCCACACAAACACACACAAGTGCTTGCACATCGCTACATAAGTGCAATAATCTTGGACGTTAAAACCATTTCATCTTCACTTTATTGAAAATACGGGTTGTGCTCATTTCTGGAGCAGAACTCTAAAACCATTGTATGTTTTAGATGAAACTTGCTATTCAGATCAGTCTTGTGGTGAACTGATGCCTTTTGATGTTTTGGGATATTGAAAAATACTGAATAGCATTATTTTTTTCTTCTCTGACCGTAAGGTATCAAATAGCAATCAACCAAAAGTTGGGTATAAGTAGCCAAACTCCATTTCCGAATTGCACCAGACTGGGGGGATATGTCATCTCCTGATGACTCATGTAAGCTTAGCAGTGAAATGTGTCTATGTGTAACTCATGTATGTTGTGTAAACCCTACCATTACCTGAGCCATGCAGAGAGTAGATGGCCGCAGGGCTGTAACACATGTTGCACAATAAATATTGCAGTTTGTATTATTTGTTGGAGGACATGCTGGCTCCCTCTTGCTGAAACCAGGCCATCGTTTGAATTGTTGGTTAAAAATGTCTCAACAATGCAAAGCACTATGCATTCATGAGTGATGGAGGAAGGTAGCACACCCATGAAGATCCAGGGTAGAACAGGTCTTCAGCAACCCATGCTTGCCGTAGAGGCGACTATGCTTTCATGTGAGGCTGCTAACGGGATCGGGTCGTCAGACTCACTGACTTGGTTGATGCATGTCATCATATGCCAATTGTGTGGATCAATACTCATGATATTAATCACAGGATTGTCTGGTCCAGACTCGATTACTTACAGACTGCCGTCATAGCTGGAATATTGCTGAGTGCAGCGTTAAACAAACAAACAAACAAAGGAAGGTAGTGCATACAAACCTACAATCCCATTTAGCACTGACGATGACTTCCAGGTTGAGTTTGGCTGTCTGTTGGCCTGGAATTAGAGTGTTTGAACGCCAATGTTCCATTGATTATGTTGTCAGTGATGTTTGCCATCTTATTGAAAATTAAATATGTATTAAGCAAACACTGGACTTGGTGCAGTGTGGGTGTGCTGTCAAGCAGGTTATTGATTGTAAAACTTGGCTCACTTAGTACGAGTAAGTAAAAGTCAATATTGACATGTGACAAAACTACTCACAAATCATCCTAGACTGACCTTGCTGCCGATTTTCATTATCACAATATTGAAGACATCAAAAGAAAACTTTCATTTGGAAGGAACAGTTCAAATGTGTAGATTGCATAACATCAAATATTTAATAACACCTGACAGACACTGTTGATCCCCTACTAACTGGACTCCATGTGTAGACCTAAAGAACAGAGACAGGCTGGGGTCCCTGCTCATAGTTTGAGGTGATCGTTGTAAGTCTGTGACTTTAGCCACTAATCTGAAGCCCAAGTCTATTAAAATCCTGTTAGGTCTAGTAACCCCAGCTAATAATAATCAATATGATAACAGTAAAATCTATTGAAAATTATGATTAGAGCCAAGCTCAAGTGAGTATAGTAGACTGAAAAGTATTTGCACATGTTGTAATGAACTGTTTGAGACGTAAAGTATACTCGAATGTCCTCACCCAATTGTTTGGGTAGCTTGGTTTGAGAAATTGACTTGTTCTATCAAGTTTACATTAGGCAGCTGAGGATAATAGTGATTTTGTTCTGACCTTATTTAAATCAAATATATTGGAGATATTTCCTTGGATATACAACTTCTTTATAACAATGAATGCAATGTTTCTGTGTAGATATTCACAGTGTTGTCAAGCTAGTGGTAACGTTGATGTATGGACTATGATTGGCTTTTCTTTCTGCACAGTTTTACGGAAGCATAATATTTAGTCCTGTATGCATAAAGATCAAGGTTGGCCCAAATTATATCCATTGCAAGTCCCATTGGACTCAAAAGAGTTGATGTTGGAATGATTAAAATTCATTTACTTGAAGCATGTATGAAAGTTTTATCTGATATTTCTGTTCTGGTAAGAAATACAGTCAATGTTCAGGTCGGTTGTTTCCACTCAATCACTATGTGTGATACAAGCAGGGACACCCTCATCTACATCAAGCCTCAGGCATCAAACATACTTTGTAGTTTATTTGCTGTTGGAACCCATGAAGATCCGGGCTAGAAGAGGTCTTCAGCAACCCATGCTTGCCGTAAAAGGCGACTATGCTTGTCGTAAGAGCCGACTAACGGAATCGGGTGGTCAGACTCGCTGACTTGGTTGATGCATGTCATCTTGTGCCAATTGTGTGGATCGATGTTCATGATAACAATCACTGGATTGTCTGGTCCAGACTTGATTATTTACAGACCGCTGTCATATAGCTGGAATACTGCTGAGTGCAGTGTTAACAAACAAACAATATTATTTGCTGTTGGTGTACAGTGGTTGTCTGGGACCACCATTTTAATGCCTAGGATCCACACAACTTGTTAGATGGATGCCCATGCATGTATCTACAAACAAGATGTGTTTTTGGTTATTATCCACAGCAACAAAGTGTAGAAATGGGTGTGGTCCATCCATCCTGCGGTCCATCACATTTTGTTGCCTGAGCATAACTCAAAGACGGTTCAATATTTCTTGATCCAACTTTGCACTAATATCAGTCTAGCCATGAACTGGTGCCTTTTGCTATTTAGGAATTAAGGGTTGTTGGGGGAGTATAAAAGAAAGTTTGAAAAAAACTAATAAAATAGATTACAAACATAAGTTGAGATATATAATGAACACTTTATATTACTAGACAGTGTCATAACAGGATTAAATTGCGTACTTCAGTATGGACTTGTTGACATGGTTTTTTTGGTGTAATGTACTGGCGATAATTTCTTTACATAGGGTAAAAAAACATCAGAATTCATATCATTGTAGGCATGTTTTATGTGCGCCCATTCTAAACCGCTGTATTTGGGGGGCAGGGGGTGCACTATACTCAAGAAAAAATGGTAAAATGTTTATTTAAGGGAGAGTAATGTGGGGTGTTTTGGGATAGTGGAGGCCTAGGGAGTGCTGAATCAGATGCTGGGGTGAGATTCTTGGAATCCTGCAGTTTAATTTAGTTTTGATGAGGAAACAGGTAGGCTGTGGACAGTTAGCTTGAAGCTGTTGCAGTTATCTTTGTGCCCCTTTTTATTCAAGTGATGGTTCCAGTGAGACTGATAGGGTTCACAGGTTTTCATCCTCCACTTTAGGACAGTGGGGTCATTGGCCTGTGTGATATTGTGTTTATTTTGTGTATTGGACTATTAAGGGTTGTGTGTAGCACAAACTCTTAGTTGGGACATGTCTTTTGGTGGTTTGTTTGCTGAGATTGTTTGAGAATATATTAAAGATATTTCACTGCTTTTTCCAGAAACCTTCATCAAGTCAGCTGCCACTGGCTGTCAGTGAGGTATTGTCGACAGAGCGGGGCACGACCTTCTATGTGCTGACAGTTGCTGGGGAACATGGGATACCTCAGGACAGCCCAAGGTCAGTGCCGGGCACTCCCACCACGAAGTCTGTGCCGGCCACGCCCCCCAAGAGGTCGCTGACCCCGGCATTCATGACTGAAGAAGCAATTGTTGATGACAACATGCCAGAGTATATCAAGAGCGTGGACATTCCCTCCTCACTCCTCATAGAAGTTAGAAAAAAGTAAGAATATGTTGTTGTTTCACCAGCTCCAACCAGGGTTCACCTTTCACCTGACTGGGACAACCCTCGTAATATCAATCACTGATTCATCTGATTCCGACTTGATTATTTGCAGGCTGTGTTAAAGAACAACCAAAAAAAACAAACGAAAGGTGGCTTTGGACCCTTGTCACTCATATCATAATTTATTTTACAAAAGTAGAAGCCTCTCAAATATTTTGACCGTATTTTCTATTCCAAGAGCTGTTTGGTTCAGTCCCTCTGGAGCAGTGTTTAATCTTGCCACATGCTACCAAGGCCAAACTATGGTCTTACTTTGTCTGTGACAAAAACGATCAAGATTACTAACCTCGTCCTGTCACTCAACATCATTCTTTTTTAGTAGATCTTAGTGTTAATGTATGGACTTAGTTACCAAACCAAAAGAAAATTTTACTAGACTTGGGCCTCAGACAAGCGGTTAAAGCCACAGACTGTACTTAGATCACAGATCGGTATGCTCCATTTCATAATTCAAATGTACCCCTGCTTCCCATATAAAGGGAAACAACTCTCACTGTACATTTTCCTAATGTTTGAAACTGCATAAAATCCTTCTCACTTTTCTAAGTTGGGTTCTTCATTGATGGTCTGGATTCTTCGAAATCTTGATTACAAACACTTTTGGGTGTGATTAACATCTGCATTGTTCAGCTCACTTAATCTCAGCATTGTATTATCTGTTTCCATAATGATACAATAATTGACACTCAAATGCAGCTCCATTTCAATGCTCAACACTTTCAATAAGGTGTCATTTTTTGTAGCTTTTTTGCAGTGTCTGACATGTAAAATAGGCTGTTTGACTGGCTCGTAGCATTTATAAATGTTGTTATAATTGGCTTTTGCTAACATGGGTAAAGATCTCTAGACACACTTTGGAAAATCAACAATGCAGCGATTGTGTCACGCCTTTCAAAATGCTTTTGTGTTTATTTACTGCATCATTGCACAGTCGAAGGCAGACTTTCCCATTCAGGAATTGGGCAAGCTGAACAGCAAGTGAAAAAAAGTCAGACGATGACAGCTGTACTGTCACGATCAGTGAAACATCATCCCGGTCCAACTACTTATTGCAAAAGAAGGGGACAGCTGTTTTTCCTTGGCTGTTTTCTTTTTACTAAAATAAGAATTTAATGACTCAAACTTCCATACCAGCACCCTGACATGCTTAGAGTAACCATCACCAAGTAGTTGGTGAAGCCCCTTCACAATGACTCCCACCTCTCCCGTTTTGAAAATGCCCTTTTAGAAAGTTCCCCTTCCCCTCCCCTTTTCTAAACCTGCCCACCTTTTTTTCACTACTGGGCCTGAAGGACTGTTCTATTTTGTCAACTGGAATGAAGATTGTTTAATGTATGGTTATACTTGGAAACATGTCAGTTTTGCATGAGAGTTTTCCAGTCTGTCCTCACCATGCAGTGATGTGTTGCAGGGTGAGGATGAACTTTCTGAACCACCTGGAGGACTGGATGACCCAGGCCGCTGAGCGAGCAAGCAGCGTCGTGGTGGCCAAGGTACGCCATGGTCATGAAGTGACAGTTAACTGTACTTATTGTTCTGTCCTCATCTGGCCAAGGGTCCGAGTTTGAGGACACTAAATTTAGTCATGTTAGTTGGAGTCTTTCTTCTTTTGTGGGATTAAATAGGCCCCCAATAACATAGGCTTTGCACAAGAGGCTTCCAGTTAGATTGGGTGGTCATACTCTGTGCCTTGGTTGAATGCATGTCTTCATACTCCTACAAAATGTCAATAATTGTTTTGTCTGGTCCAGATATTTTACAGGCTACCATAATATTGCTGGAATGTTGCGGAGTGCAATGTTAAATGATAAACGAACAAAAAATTTAGCTTGACCAAACCAGTTCAGTAGATTTTACTGTTATTTGCTGTCTTTCAGAAATATACTAGACCGAAAGAATTTATACCACAGACAACAGATCTTTATGAAATTTGATTGATTCCACTTTGACTAGTTGAGAGGACTGTCTAATGTTTGTGGTGTATTACAATGTTGTCCTTGTCTCCATCAGTGTGAGGAGTTGAACAGTGAGCTTGATCTGCGCCTCCATCTGCACCAGCCCCGAGCCCGGCGGGCTGAGTTCGACGTCCACAACGTCAGAGCAGGTACGTGGATGCTGGAAACACTCATCTGCAGTGTTCAAAATTAACCATGGAAGTCACTGGTCCTTGATACAGCCTTAATGTTAAAAGATAAATAGGTATGGGGTCCATAGATTCAAATAACATAGGAGCAAACCTCAAGGATCCCTGGACCCGCATTAATTTTGAACACTATCTGTGTATTAGTCACTATGTCCGATATCTCTGTAGTTGTCACAACAACCATTGTCTCTGTAGTTGTCAAAAGAACCATTGTCTTTGTAGTTGTCATAACAACCATTGTCTCTGTAGTTGTCATAACAACCATTGTCTATGTAGTTTTCAGAACATCCATTGTCTGTGTAGTTGTCAGAACATCCATTGTCTGTGTAGTTGTCAGAACAACCATTGTCTGTGTAGTGTCAGAACAACCATTGTCTGTGTAGTTGTCAGAACATCCATTGTCTGTGTAGTTGTAATAACAACCATTGTCTGTGTAGTTTTCAGAACATCCATTGTCTCTGTAGTTGTCAGAACATCCATTGTCTCTGTAGTTGTCAGAACAACCATTGTCTGTGTAGTTGTCAGAACATCCATTGTCTGTGTAGTTGTCAGAACAACCATTGTCTGTGTAGTTGTCAGAACAACCATTGTCTGTGTAGTTGTCAGAACATCCATTGTCTGTGTAGTTGTCAGAACAACCATTGTCTGTGTAGTTGTCAGAACATCCATTGTCTGTGTAGTTGTCAGAACATCCATTGTCTGTGTAGTTGTCAGAACATCCATTGTCTGTGTAGTTGTCAGAACAACCATTGTCTGTGTAGTTTTCAGAACATCCATTGTCTGTGTAGTTGTCAGAACAACCATTGTCTCTGTAGTTGTCAGAACAACCATTGTCTGTACAGTTGTCAGAACAACCATTGTCTGTGTAGTTGTCAGAACATCCATTGTCTCTGTAGTTGTCAGAACAACCATTGTCTGTGTAGTTGTCAGAACAACCATTGTCTGTGTAGTTGTCAGAACAACCATTGTCTGTGTAGTTGTCAGAACAACCATTGTCTGTACAGTTGTCAGAACATCCATTGTCTGTGTAGTTGTCATAACAACCATTGTCTGTGTAGTTGTCAGAACATCCATTGTCTGTGTAGTTGTCAGAACATCCATTGTCTGTGTAGTTGTCAGAACAACCATTGTCTGTGTAGTTGTCAGAACATCCATTGTCTGTGTAGTTGTCAGAACATCCATTGTCTGTGTAGTTGTCATAACAACCATTGTCTGTGTAGTTTTCAGAACATCCATTGTCTGTGTAGTTGTCAGAACAACCATTGTCTCTGTAGTTGTCAGAACAACCATTGTCTCTGTAGTTGTCAGAACAACCATTGTCTCTGTAGTTGTCAGAAGAACCATTGTCTCTGTAGTTGTCAGAACATCCATTGTCTGTGTAGTTGTCAGAACATCCATTGTCTGTGTAGTTGTCATAACAACCATTGTCTGTGTAGTTTTCAGAACATCCATTGTCTGTGTAGTTGTCAGAACAACCATTGTCTGTGTAGTTGTCAGAACAACCATTGTCTCTGTAGTTGTCAGAACAGCCATTGTCTGTGTAGTTGTCAGAACATCCATTGTCTCTGTAGTTGTCAGAACAACCATTGTCTGTGTAGTTGTCAGAACATCCATTGTCTGTGTAGTTGTCATAACAACCATTGTCTGTGTAGTTGTCATAACAACCATTGTCTGTGTAGTTGTCAGAACAACCATTGTCTGTGTAGTTGTCAGAACAACCATTGTCTGTACAGTTGTCGGAACATCCATTGTCTGTGTAGTTGTCATATCAACCATTGTCTCTGTAGTTGTCAGAACATCCATTGTCTGTGTAGTTGTCAGAACATCCATTGTCTGTGTAGTTGTCAGAACAACCATTGTCTGTGTAGTTGTCAGAACATCCATTGTCTGTGTAGTTGTCAGAACAACCATTGTCTCTGTAGTTGTCAGAACAACCATTGTCTCTGTAGTTGTCAGAACAACCATTGTCTCTGTAGTTGTCAGAACAACCATTGTCTCTGTAGTTGTCAGAACAACCATTGTCTCTGTAGTTGTCAGAACAACCATTGTCTCTGTAGTTGTCAGAACAACCATTGTCTGTGTAGTTTTCAGAACATCCATTGTCTGTGTAGTTGTCATAACAACCATTGTCTGTGTAGTTGTCAGAACAACCATTGTCTGTGTAGTTGTCAGAACAACCATTGTCTCTGTAGTTGTCAGAACAACCATTGTCTCTGTAGTTGTCAGAACATCCATTGTCTCTGTAGTTGTCAGAACAACCATTGTCTGTGTAGTTGTCAGAACAAGCATTGTCTCAGTAGTTGTCAGAACAACCATTGTCTGTGTAGTTGTCAGAACAACCATTGTCTGTGTAGTTGTAATAACAACCATTGTCTGTGTAGTTTTCAGAACATCCATTGTCTCAGTAGTTGTCAGAACAACCATTGTCTGTGTAGTTGTCAGAACAACCATTGTCTGTGTAGTTGTCAGAACATCCATTGTCTGTGTAGTTGTCATAACAACCATTGTCTGTGTAGTTGTCAGAACAGCCATTGTCTGTGTAGTTGTCAGAACAACCATTGTCTGTGTAGTTGTCAGAACAACCATTGTCTCTGTAGTTGTCAGAACAACCATTGTCTCTGTAGTTGTCAGAACATCTATTGTCTCTGTAGTTGTCAGAACAACCATTGTCTCTGTAGTTGTCAGAACAACCATTGTCTGTACAGTTGTCAGAACATCCATTGTCTGTGTAGTTGTCAGAACATCCATTGTCTGTGTAGTTGTCAGAACAACCATTGTCTGTGTAGTTGTCAGAACAACCATTGTCTGTACAGTTGTCAGAACATCCATTGTCTGTGTAGTTGTCAGAACATCCATTGTCTCTGTAGTTGTTATAACAACCATTGTCTGTGTAGTTTTCAGAACATCCATTGTCTCAGTAGTTGTCAGAACAACCATTGTCTCTGTAGTTGTCAGAACAACCATTGTCTCTGTAGTTGTCAGAACAACCATTGTCTGTACAGTTGTCAGAACATCCATTGTCTGTGTAGTTGTCAGAACATCCATTGTCTCTGTAGTTGTCAGAACAACCATTGTCTGTGTAGTTGTCAGAACAACCATTGTCTGTGTAGTTGTCAGAACAACCATTGTCTGTGTAGTTGTCAGAACATCCATTGTCTGTGTAGTTGTAATAACAACCATTGTCTGTGTAGTTTTCAGAACATCCATTGTCTCAGTAGTTGTCAGAACAACCATTGTCTGTGTAGTTGTCAGAACAACCATTGTCTGTGTAGTTGTCAGAACATCCATTGTCTGTGTAGTTGTCATAACAACCATTGTCTGTGTAGTTGTCAGAACAGCCATTGTCTGTGTAGTTGTCAGAACAACCATTGTCTGTGTAGTTGTCAGAACAACCATTGTCTGTGTAGTTGTCAGAACAACCATTGTCTCTGTAGTTGTCAGAACATCTATTGTCTCTGTAGTTGTCAGAACAACCATTGTCTCTGTAGTTGTCAGAACAACCATTGTCTGTACAGTTGTCAGAACATCCATTGTCTGTGTAGTTGTCAGAACATCCATTGTCTCTGTAGTTGTCAGAACAACCATTGTCTGTGTAGTTGTCAGAACAACCATTGTCTGTACAGTTGTCAGAACATCCATTGTCTGTGTAGTTGTCAGAACATCCATTGTCTCTGTAGTTGTCAGAACAACCTTTATATGTGTACTTCAAGAAGAAAATGTAGCTTGCTTGTACATGCTTGTTATAATAAGTGACTAAAATGGCTGTTGTCATGGAATCATTGTACCATCCCGTTGAGGAAGCAGAATAGATACTGTAAATATTTGAAAAAGCACAGGGCTTTTACTGTTTTCATAAAGTCCTTTGAATGCATGGATGTTTTAAGCATTTGCATGAAGCTTTTACAATTTTGTTTTAAATGCCTCTTTTCTGTGTCTGGAACTAAGATAGGAAGATTTGAAAACTTAATCAAATGTAATCGTTGCTTTCCATCACTGTTTCATAAGGAATTGTTGAAGGCAGGCATTTATTCAGTGCAGCCATTATTCAAGGATTAATGGTACATTTAGAGATTTCTTGACATGGGAAGTGATGACAGACTAAGTGGCTGAGACAGGGCACCTGTATCACTGCAGTTTGTTTCCAGGGATTATTTCTAGAGATGGCTGACATTGTTCCATCACTTTGTTAATTTCTAATACTGCATATTTTTTGTTATTACCAAATCATTTACATTCTAAACGACACTTTTAAAATACAACTATCAGGTAGCAAAAATAATGTCCATATAAACGTACTAGTCTTGATGGTAACTGTCATGTTGTGAAGTGATGTGGCGTTGGTCTAGTGAAGTCATCCCTTCTGTGTTGCAGCCGAGCTTGTGATGCACTCGGAGCGTGTGGCCCGTCACTGTAAGGGCATCCAGCAGGCTCTCTCCGAACTCCGGCATCGCTTCAATGGCATGAGTCATGAACACAACAAGCTGGCACAGAAGTTCCGAGAGGATATCGAAGCTCTGGAGATCATCTTTATCAATGCTACAAAATCTTCAAGGTTAACACAGCAATCAGTACAAAAACACATAAATATTTCAGGGATTGATAATTAGTGGATATTTGTATTTTCTTGTTAAATAACATGTTTATCTCAATGACAGTCTCATTAACATCAGATTTCCCATACCATGCCTCTCTAAGGGAAGATCTTAGGACGCCTCCATGGAAAGTCACATCAGGTTAACTGTCTTATCGGCCAATCAGCATTGAGTCTTCTAAATTATTGCCACAAGTGAGCGGAGCATGCAGACCAGCATATCTGATTTTTGTATCTCGACTTCTTCTGAATGTAGATAAATGAGACTGCTCCATTATTTGTTGTAGATATTTGATTCACCTTGTACTTTCTGAGCACCATGGCATCTACACCCAAAAAGCAGTACAATAGTGCATGTTTATGTTCTATGTGTGTGTTTTCAATATTACGAGTCAAAGTGGTTAAACAAAAGGAATTAGTGATTTAGGAATAATAGAATATCTGTTCCTTGTGGAATATTGCTGCAAAAACTCACTCACTCACTCCCTCGGTGTGTTTCCAGACTTGTGGCTCTACAGAACCAGCTGAGTGTAGAGCTGGACAAGTTCATGTCGGTGATCCGCACATCACTCCGGCAGTTCCGCCAGCACCTTGACGAGACGCTCCAGATGCTCCGCGAGTCTAACGCGAGGTTCATCAAGTCCTTCAAGTGAGTAACAATGAGTAGACATTGCCAGTTGATCAACCTATACACTGTAGAGACAAGTAGACATTGCCAGTTGATCAACCTGTACACTGTAGAGACAAGTAGACATTGCCAGTTGATCAACCTATACACTGTAGAGACAAGTAGACATTGCCAGTTGATCAACCTGTACACTGTAGAGACAAGTAGACATTGCCAGTTGATCAACCTGTACACTGTAGAGACAAGTAGACATTGCCAGTTGATCAACCTGTACACTGTAGAGACAAGTAGACATTGCCAGTTGATCAACTTGTACACTGTAGAGACAAGTAGACATTGCCAGTTGATCAACTTGTACACTGTAGAGACGAGTAGACATTGCCAGTTGATCAACTTGTACACTGTAGAGACGAGTAGACATTGCCAGTTGATCAACTTGTACACTGTAGAGACGAGTAGACATTACCAGTTGATCAACCTGTACACTGTAGAGACAAGTAGACATTGCCAGTTGATCAACTTGTACACTGTAGAGACGAGTAGACATTGCCAGTTGATCAACTTGTACACTGTAGAGACGAGTAGACATTGCCAGTTGATCAACTTGTACACTGTAGAGACGAGTAGACATTGCCAGTTGATCAACTTGTACACTGTAGAGACGAGTAGACATTGCCAGTTGATCAACCTGTACACTGTAGAGACGAGTAGACATTGCCAGTTGAATAACCAACAGAATGTAGAGATGAGTTGACATTGCCAGTTGATCAAGTAGACATTGCCAATGGTCTCTACATTGTATTGGTGGATCAAGTAGACATTGCTAGTTGATCAACCAACAGAATGTAGAGATGAGTTGACATTGCCAGTTGATCAACCAACAGAATGTAGAGATGAGTTGACATTGCCAGTTGATCAACCAACAGAATGTAGAGATGAGTTGACATTGCCAGTTGATCAAGTAGACATTGCCAATGGTCTCTACACTGTATTGGTGGATCAAGTAGACATTGCCAAAGGTCTCTACACTGTATTGGTGGATCAAGTAGACATTGCCAATGGTCTCTACACTGCATTGGTGGATCAAGTAGACATTGCCAATGGTCTCTACACTGTATTGGTGGATCAAGTAGACATTGCCAATGGTCTCTACACTGCATTGGTGGATCAAGTAGACATTGCCAATGGTCTCTACACTGTATTGGTGGATCAAGTAGACATTGCCAATGGTCTCTACACTGTATTGGTGGATCAAGTAGACATTGCCAATGGTCTCTACACTGTATTGGTGGATCAAGTAGACATTGTCAGTTGTCTCTACATTGTATTGGTGGATCAAGTAGACATTGTCAGTTGTCTCTACATTGTATTGGTGGATCAAGTAGACATTGTCAGTTGTCTCTACATTGTATTGGTGGATCAAGTAGACATTGCCAGTTGATCAACCTATAGAATGTGTTCTGTGTTACTGCAGGGTTTTCTCAGATGGAGGCAACTTTTGTCCAGATGAGATCGAGGAATATCGGAAGAAACTGGAGAAGATGTCCCAGAAGATAGACACGTCGGAGGGTTCCATCATGTCCGACCTGGAAGGAATGGAGTCGAAGAGACTGGAGCAGGCCACTAAAGTTGCCATAGAGTTTGAGGACAGGTGGGGACTTCAGAGTGTTTAATGAGGGACTCATTTGGCTGTTTGTGCAAGTTTGATTCACTTTGGTTCATGATGGATAGCAGTAGACACAATTTCACACATGGGATTAATTACAGTGTCTACACTCTTTTTTCTGGTTTTATTGTGTAACAGCACACACTGCAATGTTCTAGCTATATCACATCTGCCTGTAAATTATCGAGTCTGGACCTGACCAACTAGTGATTGATACTATAAACAAGTCACCAAGCCTGACCTCACAATCCTTTAAGCTGCTTCTTATGACAACCATAGGTTGCTGGGAACCAATTATAACCCAGAGTCCCCACCCCACACAGGGTACTTATTACAAGTCTAGACATCGTCTGGAGATGGGCACCAGAATGTGGTCTTTCTTTCAATCTGTGCAAGGTGTAAAGAGTAAAGGATTTTATTATTGATATTTTGAATTCAATTTGAACGGTACATTTTGAAAAGATATAGTGTGGAAATATTATGCTGGAAACTATCTTACAAGGAAAGGGAGTTAACTGACTCTAAAAGTCCAGTTTCCACGATTGCCGAAATATGCTGGAATTTCTGCGCTCGATCGTAGCGCCACCAGTGGGTATTACAAGTTATGTCCCTTCTATGCCCCTCCTATTGACCAGTTAGATTCCAACTCTCATATCACTTGCATTTGCTTCAAACAAAATGGCGGCGCCCAGTCAAGACGATCTGATCGATGATAAAGATATATATTGTAATAAAACGGAACTTACCTTGTGAAGTGCATCAAATTATATGAGCACCTTGATATAAATCCTGAAAAGATTTTAAAAATACCTGTCGATGCCCGGTTGACGATACACATCTTTTGCAATTCCTGCAGTCGACCGAAATCTGCATGCTGAAATTCATGTTGTTGACAAACTGGATGTTGATTTTGTAACACCATTTTGATGGGACTATGCATGGACTCGGTAGTCCAGTCAAAATATAACTCCATAATTCCATCCTAGTTCGGCAAAGGTGGATACTGGACTTTCACAGTCAGTTAACTCCCTTACCTCGGGAAGATGCCTGGAAACTTGGAAGACATATTTGTATAACTGAATGTATTACTCCCTAGATGAGTTTTGGCTCTGATCAGTGGGAAAGAGAAGGCCCCCAGTGCAAATTAACATGAGAATGAGGTGGTCAGTAGGATATCTTCTTGGATGGTGATATCAAAGAACCCTGTCAGGTAGACCTCAGCCACAGTTCACACCTTGATAGATTCAGCTTGAGCTGATGGTTGCACTTGATGTCCACAGGTTCAAGAGTCACATGTTTGACCTGCTCTTCATGGAGAAGATCGCCAGATGGCTGACTAACACCCAGGTGAAGATCAAGGCTGAGGTGGCCAACAGCAACTCCCAGGCTCAACGACTGATGCAGCACCTCAATGACCTTGACCGCAGGATAGATGCATGTGAAAAACCCAACCTTGACAAGGAGGTGAGTCAGAAGGTGCCAATGACTGTGACTTCATGGTAGATGAATGTGGGAAACCTAACCCTGACAAGGAGGTGAGTCAGAAGGTGCCAATGACTGACTTCATGGTAGATGAATGTGGGAAACCTAACCCTGACAAGTGTAAAACATAGCCGCAACTGGGAGGTGAGCTGGACTGTGTTTAACCTTGACCTTGACCTCTGCATAGATGTGAGAAACGCAATCTATTAAAAGGAAATAGGAATTGTGTCTGTTTGAGTCACTGACCATAGTTTAAGGATGAAAACATAATTTTTACATCTCAAAAATATAATCTCATTGACCTTTACTGAAAAATAAACGCTTTTCAGGGACAGAGAGAACTGTAAAAATTACAGTGGGCATGACTGTAAGTGACTATTCTCAACACAAATTACAAACAAATTTATTGATAATTATTACAATATTTTATGAATGCTTCATCACAGTTGTAAGGAATAGTGTATTTCATTTGCACTGAATTAAAAAGGAAATAGATGCATCACATTTGTAAACTAATGATTAGAATTAAATTTTCATTTGGAGTTTTTTGAAATATAACCCTGAATTGTCAGAGCTCCAAATAAGCTTTGTATCTGCATAAAATGCACAAAAATAAATTACTATTACCCAGTTACTCAAGAGAGTGAAAATACATTGACTACCCAAACAAAACTATATATGTGCATGAAAACATAGAAGCAAATATTAAATGGCTGAAAACGTTATCTGGAGCCCGGATACATAGATCATAATTCCATCTTCTGTATTCCAGCAAATCACATCCAGTCAGCTGAATGACAGCCTTAAAGCCTTACTGGAGGCGTTCCATGCACGCTGCGTGTACCTCAACTGTATGAAGGAGGGGCTGGCCCGACCCCAGTCAGCCAGCCTGCAGGGTAATCCAGCCACCGGTGAGTATAGAGGGTAGGGGAGTGTGGAGTGATACAATGCTTCTGCATGGTCACTTGAGTTAAGCAGTACAAAGAAGAGTGGCCTTTACCCAAACAACCTCTGCTTGTCATGAGAGGCAACTGTATTGATCGGGGGAGGCAGGACATGGTTCATTGCATGTCATCATACTCCAATGGCATGGACTGTGCTCATAATAATAATCACTGGTTTGTCTGGTCTAGATTTGAGTATTTACATGCTACCAGTATATAGCTGGAATATTGCTGAGTGTTTAACATCAAACAAACAAGCAATATATATTCAACTGCAACCATCCAGGAGGACTTAATTGTGATGACCAAATGTTAGACTAAATAATGTGACATTTACAGTTAAATATCTTTCTCTTTGACCAACCAGAATCATGACCAAATGTTTATGATATTGTCTGCTTATTTCTGTGTATTTTCACATAGTTTTAACTTTGGTAATTAATGTGATTCTTTTTTTGTTGGTATCAGGCTTTGCCAGAAAAAAGCGTCGGAGTTATAGTCTGTCATTGCCTACATCAGCTAGAATAGTATCATTTGGTATAGTGGTCCTTTCTATAACACGTCTTTTGTTCTTTATATTCATTTGTTTGATTTTTGTTTATTTGTTTTCCCTTTGTTGTTTTTATTTGGAAAATATTGTCACTTTTGTTTTGCTAAGTTAATAGCCATGGAGATTGGGGTCAGAATATGTCCCCAGTAACCTATGCTGGTTGTAAGAGGTAACTTAATGGATCAAGTCATCAGACTCCGTGACTGAGCTGATTGTTTGTCACTGTACCTTGATGGCGTGGGTCGTTACTCATGACATCAATCACTGTGGAGGATTTCCAATCATAAGTCCACAGTGCCAGATGCTTGTCATAAGAGCTGAACAAATCGAGAATAAGTTGGTTATAAATGTTTAACCTTGCTGATAATTGCTCATGCTATCAACCTCTGGTTTGTCTGGTGAGGTGAGGTGAAAAGGGGCTTAACGTCACGTCCAAGATTATTGCACTTATATAGTGATGTGTATGCACTTGTGTGTGTGGCTACATGTACTAGTCTGGACTAATGCCGATTTTATAGTGCTAGCCCACTAAGACACCATGCTGCAGTTTAACATGAATACCCCACTCAGATGCAGTATACTGACTCCGAGCCGACCAGGGGTTGTTTTAATGCCTAGCGCATTTGGTATGACACGACCAGGGATCAAACCCTGGAACGTCCGCTGTCCAAGCAGATGCTCTACTACTTGAGGACGGAGGTGGTAGGTTTGTCTGGTGCAGACCCAACTTCTTGCAGACTGCCATGATATAGCTGTAACATTGCTGGCATGTTGTTTAACTACAACCACGTACATCACTGTATATTCCACAATATGTTTCCTAAAATATAAAACAGATTTATTTGAATGTACGACATTACATTTAAGAATAATTTTGTCTTGATATTTATCAACTGATCAAGTTTGAGACTCTGCTAGTCTTTGTTGATTAGAATAGGTCCAGAGCAACCTATGCTTGTCATAATAGGCGACTAGATGGATCCGGTGGTCAGACTCAGTGGCCTTGCCGATTATGTGTCATCATGTCTCGATGATGTTGATCATTGCTCATGCTTTCAGTCACTGGTTGTCTGGTGTAGACTTTTGTAGATTTGGATATGGCTGGAATATTGTTAAATGTGGCATAAAACAACACTCACTCACTTTGTTGTCCTCAAATGGCGGAGAATGTTCATGTTGTCTATACCTCCCCTTGCAGCTGCTCGGGTCGGCTTTTCGTACGATGTGACTGCAGTCAGCAAACCCGGCAAACAGCCATCGGAAGATCCCTCTGTCGGAGTCATCAAGAGCATTCTCAAGTCAGTGTTTTGTTCCAGTTATGTTTATGTACTTTGGATGCACAAACAATATGGCATCAGATCACATGATATAGAGCCCTGAAGAGGACAAAACTATGTACTTGGTTATCAGGACACCTTTGTTGCCTGGGTAACTGAATATCTATATATCTGAGTCAGATACCAGTTATTACAAAGTCACACAACCCATAATCATGCATCAATGAAGTACTTCCACCTCTGTTCTTTTTAAATTTTGAAAATCTAATAATGAATTTTAATGAAGCCTAAGGACTTTTGTTTTATGTATGTCTAGCGTTTATCTTTTGTCACTAAACCAGATTTTTGGAAAAATGAACATGCCACATGAAAGTGTTGGTTATAATGAATATATCATGGTTATCGGAAGTCGGTGAGTCAGGTGTAGTAAATATAGTTGTTGTCCCAGAGCAGCAGTCATTGACATCGTATGTAACAATAAACCCCTGCTAATCCTAGTAGAATTGTTCCAAGTTAAATCATCAAGTAGAAATGTATGGATTAACAAACCATGAATATGTAGCAATGTTCCTTTCACAGAAGTACACATTCCAAACAGTAATCATCCACAAGATGGGATTTCATTGTGTTAAAGGGGAACTAGCCTCATGTTCACTGGCAGTCCCAGCTGATTCTGTGTCTGCTGCCTCAAGTTATTTCATGTATATCAAACCCGCAGTTCATTTTGGTGAGATGAAATGGGCTTTAACATCGCATTCAAGATTATTGCACTTATATTGCAACGTGCCTGTGTCTGTGTCTGTGTTTGTGTGTGTCTCTGTTTGTACTAGTCCAGACTAATGCCGATTTATAGTGCTAGCCCACTGAGATACCATGCCGCAGTTTAACCTGAATACCCCACTCAGACAGTATACTATCCGAGCTGACCAGTCCTTGTTTTACTCCCTCAATGGCAAGCGCCAGACAGGGTAACAACAAGTACCATCTTTAACGTCTTTTGGTATAAAGCGGCCGGGGATTGAACCAATTAGCTTCTTATCACCAGGCAGATGCTCTGTCCACGGAGGCAGTCCACAGTTCTTGATAACCCTAATATCACAGATTATCAGATAATGTCCACATTGTGCAATGATTACACTGTCTAGACCTTGGCTGAGTAGCACAGAATGTGGAGAGCTAAACAGTGAAAAATCCCAATGTATTGGAAGGTTGCTTATAAAAAAAGGTGGAACGTGTTGTTAATACTTCACTGATGTTTTTACAGAAGCCAGAAGAGCAAGATGCGTTTTGGAATGGATGCTGAGCTGGATGGTGACACGATGACGCCGTCCACGACGATGCTGCCCACTTCCACCAGCATCACCCAGGACTTGGCCAGAGATAAGCAGAAGTCCTCCATGTCCCAGAGCTCCAACAAGCTCAGCAACATCGGGGAGAAGAAGGCGGGGAGTCGGCGTGGAACTCTCGGATCAATTGTCATTGACCTAAATGTTCCAGTCAAGAGAGTTCACTCAGCGTGAGTTGTGTTTAGTGGCACAGAAACTGTTCTGTTGCCATCTGTTAACTTGAGTCCTTAATTGTAACTTAAAACATGGATAGAGTATTCATGTAAGGAAAATATTAATGCTGTGTCTTAAATCTTGTGACGTTGTGATATGATGTAAATGTACATATGCTATTATGATAGTACGGAGTATGGGTCAGTTGGTGATATATAAACATTCATTAAGGGGTTAACTTGAAGACATATGGATGTTTCAATAAGTTTTGTCTTTTTGGTCAGGATCTTGGCAATCAGTTTCCTTGATTAGTTCTATTAATTTAGGGAACCATCTGAATGAAATATATAGGGTCATGTTCCACAAAGTGATCTTCGTTCTAAGGTGATTGTAACTCCTATACTTAAATTAACGTGGACATATGATTGCTCACCAATATGAATTTGTAGAACAGGGCCCTTGAATATTTCATTCTGCTTGACGATGTCGCTGTCAAACTGTTAATCATTATACATAGTTTGGCGAAACCGCGTTATCAGTGGTTCATATTGGGAAAGGGAGGTCACTCTAAATTCAAACGGGAGCTATCTCCGTTGTTTTCGGATTTGCGAGAAATGGCGTCAGTCATGCTGTACGTTGTTGGTCCAGCTATTAAATGCCCAGCTAATCCCTAAGGTAAAACGTATTCTTAATTAAATGTTTGAATGCATCATATATTTATGTTTCCATCCGTACATCTTCTTAGATTGGTTTAGTGCTGATAACCATTTTCTAAAATGTGGGCCCACATTGTTCCCGTCATATATGGTGATCGAAACAAGTGGGCCCACATTTGTATATAACCTAGCTTCGTTAGGTTGTTTAATTAGTTCTGATAATCAATTCCTAAATGTGGGCAGACGTTCTTCCGTCATATTGATTGCAACAGGAGGGACCACATTTATTTATCGCGAAATTCTACTTAAATATTGATAATCATTTTCTCAAATGTGGGCCCACATTGTTCCCGTCATATATGGTGGTCGAAACAAGTTGGCCCACATTTGTACATCTACTAGTAGGAAGACGTTCTTCTGTCATAGTGATTGCAACAGGAGGGACCACATTTATAAATCGCTAAGCTTCATTAGCCTGGCTTACTTATAACCATTTTCTAAAATGTGGGCCCACATTGTTGCCGTCTTATAGTGATCGAAACAGGTGGGCCCACATTTGTAAATTGCTGGGCTTCATTGGGTTGACTGAGTCATTTAGACTAGTGGGCTCACATTTGCATGGGTATGTGACATTATATATTATTCTCATTTTGTAATATTGATGGGAAATATCTTTATAAATGCACACAAAGTCTTTGAAGTTTGAATAACGTCATCATAGCTGACCACACTAGTTTTGCAAAAATAGTTACAAAGCAAGAAACTTAGATCTACTTCAAATTAAATTTACAGATGCAATACCACTCATTCTACTTTTTCCAGTATAACACATCAATCTGATGATAGGTTTGCCGCTGGAAATATGTCTACACTTGAATTGATCTCGGACATGACAGTCATGATACAAGCCTCAAACTTTTCCGAGAACTTGTTCCATAAAAGGAATAACTCATGAATATTAATGACCCTGCGACCTAGTTTGGCGATGTTCGTAGAAGTGAGTTCTGCTGTATTGTCATCGCATTTGTACATTCTAATCCAATTATAAGTCATAATACTTATTTTAAATAGACAAAATAGCAGTTTGTAATGCGGGTTAGTTTACATTGTACATATTCTCAACAACAAGTGCGTTTAGTTTCGAATGTGGGCCCACCTCGAACTTTTGATTAGGCAAACGGAGTTAGCTCCCTTCTCAAACCACCGATAATGCGGTTTCGCCCATTGTTTTGCTGGCTTGGAGGAGAGATTTTTGCACAGACTTTCTTGTGTTTGAGCTGTGTCAGTTGCCAATCCAAAGCCGGTCCCTCCTGTAGTCCTCCACAGTCATACCAGCCACATTGTTGCAACCTAAATGAGGGACTGGGTCTTATTCTGCCCCTAGCTCCCACAGCTGCTCTCAGTGCTGTTTACATGTTGTGCTATAGGTTGAGACGCAGCAGCAAATCCAACAAGTTTGACAAGAAGTACCTGGTGTTCGGGGAGAAGGAGGAGGAGATAGAGCTCACCAACATCATGGACATCATCAGACACACGCTGAGGGAGGCCCTCGATGGGCTGCTCACTACAGCCGACGTACGTGTCTACAGCACTATCATGACAACAGTGTGTCATCTCCGATCTATTATGTTGATGGATACCCTGGACCTATTGCCACCATAGCTTTGTTCTGGGAGTGATGTGACCAGCTCCATTTCTCTTATCCCTAACTTAACACAGGATTTCTCTACATCTAAATTATCAGCCTCGTCCGAGGTATTGTATGAATGGGTCGGGGGTATTTAACATACAAGAATGGAGATGTAATACAGAGGATAATCGGGGATGGTGACTTGGTTACTCCAGAATCTTGGTGAAAAAAAAGGGAGTGTTAGAAATGCATGCATACAGGGATGGAAAGTAGCTCTAGCCCGCTAGCCCAGACCAGTTTTGTTAATGTTAAAAGTATCCTAAGAGCTAGTAAAATTTCGAACATTTTGGGTTATTGCTATCACTGCTCAGGATAGTGGATGTTTGTCAGATACAATTGTGTGAATTATCAGGTTCACATTTGACCACATTGTTTACAGCTGTACTACCGCCAGAAGGGGAACCGCGTGGTGACTCGGCCACAGGCCCTCCAGGAGACCTTCGAGCAGTGTGCCGACACCCTGGTACAGAAACTCCAGTCTTACTTCAAGCAGGCAGCGGAGTACCACAACCAGTGCCTCCAGGGTAGGGTAACAGTTGTCTCTTTTGGTTTGAGTGATTGAGTGATTTTTATGATCCTTTTGACAATACTCCAGTCATACCTCAATAATGGTGTTCCTGGTATGGACAAGTGCAGACAAGTGTAGACAAGCATAGACAAGTGCAGACAAGTGAAGACAAGCATAGAAAAGTGTAGACAAGTGTAGATAAGCATAGGCAAGCATAGGCAAGCATTGGACAAGTGCAGACAAGCGTGGACAAGTGGAGTGAGTGAGTGAGTGAGTTGGGTTTAATGCCGCTTTTAACAGTATTCCAGTTATATCACGGCGTGTCAGCTTAATGTGGGAGGAAAGCCCGAAGTGATGCAGGTCTCAGACGTTTACCACTTCGGTGAAACCCACGAGCACGGGTATGGTGCTGACAAACCTAGAAACATAATCGGGGCGAACCGGGATTCGAACCCACAATCATAGGTTTCTGGCATGCCCAAGGGACGCGACTCTGCACAGCGAATCACGGCGCCTTAGAGGACTGGGCGACCCGTGCCCCCCTGGACAAATGGAGACAAGCGTAGACAAATGCAGACAAGAGTAGACAAGCATAGACAAGTGTAGATAATTATAGACAAGCGTAGACAAGTGCAGACAAGTGTGGACAAGCGTAGATAAGCATGGACAAGAATAGACAAGTGTAGATAAGCGTGCAGACAAGTGTAGACAAGAGTTGACAAGTGCAGACAAGCTTAGACAAGCATAGACAAGTGTAGACAAGCATAGAAAAGTGTAGACAAGTACAAATAAGCATAGACAAGCCTAGACAAGTGCAGACATGTGTGGACAAGCGTAGATATGCGTGGACAAGCATAGACAAGTGTAGATAAGCGTGGACAAGTGAAGACAAGAGTAGACAAATGCAGACAAGAGTAGACAGGTGCGGACAAGCGTAGGCAAGTGTAGACAAGCATAGACAAGTGTAAACAACCATAGAAAAGTGTAGACAAGTGCAAATAAGCATAGACATGAGTAGACAAGTGTGGACAAGCGTAGATAAGCATAGACAAGTGTAGATAAGTGTGGACAAGTGTAGACAAGAGTAGACAAATGCAGACAAGAGTAGACAGGTGCAGACAAGAGTAGGCAAGTGTAGACAAGCATAGACAGGTACAGACAAGCATAGAAAAGTGTAGACAAGTGCAAATAAGCATAGACAAGCGTAGATAAGTGCGGACAAGTGTAGATAAACGTGGACAAGTGCAGACAAGTGTAGACAGGCACAGACACGAGTAGACAAGTGCAGATATCAAACCTGTTTGACAAGTGAAATGGTCCACTGGGCCACCTTTCTTCTGCCATCAGATTCTCCTTCAGTTTCATCAGTATAGCTTCCTGAAAATAACATTTCAAATTTCATTTTGTACATTGAGGCCCCTTTTAACATGTTTATGATTCTGATATCTATGTCTATTGTCTTCTGTCTTCTGTATCTTATTCTGTAACAATCAGTGACACATGGTTGGATAAACGTTTAGCCTGCAAGACCATTTCCTACCTCCAGACAAGTTATGGATCTTGTAGCTATTATACAGAAATGGACAACAAACAGAACAGTATCTGTATTTTTTGTGATACCTTCCGTTTCTATAGTGACTGCCATGTTTCAGAGCTCCGTAGCCAGCTGGAGCAACTAGAGGAGAGTATTTCCCACGTACCAGGACTGGTCATCTCGGATATCGTGAAGGAGGAGATACAGGTTGCCGAGGATGCCCACACAGAAAGGGAGGGTCAGTTCCTAGACAAGCTGGACAGCATCACCAAGAGACAGGTGAGTTGTCCTGACATGTGCCGGGAGGCAGGAGACGCCGGTACTAGTTTGTTTTCCTGATGGTCTGTTTCTGCCAGAGTGATTCTTGATATTCTGATTGATTCTTCCAGAGAGATCCTTGATATTCTGACTGTTTCTACCAGAGAGATCCTTGCTATTCTGACTGTTTCCACCAGAGAGATCCTTGATATTCTGACTGTTTCTACCAGAGAGATCCTTGATATTCTGACTGTCTCCACCAGAGAGATCCTTATGATTCTGACTGTTTCTACCAGAGAGATCCTTGATATTCTTACTGTTTCCACCAGAGAGATCCTTGATATTCTGACTGTTTCCACCAGAGAGATTCTTGATATTCTGACTGTTTCAGCCAGAGAGATCCTTGATATTCTGACTGTTTCCACCAGAGAGATCCTTGATATTCTGACTGTTCCACCAGAGAGATCCTTGATATTCTGACTGTTTCTACCAGAGAGATCCTTGATATTCTGATATCTTAAAAGCGCTTTTAAAATTTTTTTCATTACTGCAAATAATTTTCCTTATAGCCGGAATGGCTTGTTTTGACTTTATAAATATTAGCACACATGCAACTATCTTCATTAATTAATAATCGCAATATTGTGTGATTGTATTACGAGTAACGAGGGTTATGACCAACATGTAGCACTGCCAGCTTGTGGTATAACTTGCATCTCAGTACATGTATATGTAAAGATAGTTAAAGCAAAACATGTTTCTCTACTGGAGGAATCACAGACAGTCTCACATACCCTATAGACATAAAGCACAGTACAAGCCCAGGTGTTCTATCTACTGGGTGTCAGCACATTTTGTGAATTTAATATCTGTGTCCGGACCTATAGACTACTAGTATCTCAGCCTCTCCTGAGCCATCAGTGTATTTCTTGACTGGTACTTGTGGCCAGTGGTTAACAGGGAAATTTTAGACATTCATCAAAACAATCTATCCAGTGTTTCAGGCAAGGAAAACTTCCTGTCTTTGATAATTTAGCATATTTGAAAAATGTTTGGGCAAGTGCTGAGGAAGGCATGGTCTGTGAGTCATTTCTTGTAAACAATGACAGGAATCTGTAGAAATTGTCAATTTTTACAATAAATTGTATATTGATAATACTTATCCTATCTCACACTATGCATTTCTCATTCTTCTTACGATCCTGAGTGGAAACTTACCTTTAGAAACAAAGGTATCCAGCTTCTACAAGACAATTCTCCCGAACATACCCAGCATCCCCATGGTCACCTCCCAACAATCTGACTTCCCCAGCCAACTCCTTCCTTCTCTTTCTGGAGTCTAGAAAAAGTAGAACAAAAGTCTTTGTACATGTTAAAATCTCCCCGATTCCTGTGATATAATAAGGTTGTGTGTGAAAGTTTGTGTGTCTCTCTTGCTGGTTCTAAACTACCATTCTGCTGAAACATATACACTAATTATATATCCACAGATTCCTCCACCAGAGTATGTACCACCCTGTACATGTAGGATGTAAATGCTTGACCTGTTTCTTAAAAATAACACGCTGTGTTTCATTGTACTGTAATTGAAGTATTTTTTGTCTTGTAGTTGGTTGGTTAGTTGTTTTACGCCGCACTCAGCAATATTCCAGCTATATGACAGCAGTCTGTAAATAATCCAGTCTGGACCAGACAATCCAGTGATTGATATCATGAGCATTGATCCACGCAATTGGGATCAATGACATGCTTCAACCAAGTCAGCGAGCCTGACCACCCAATCCCGATAGTCACCTCTTACGACAAGTGTAGTCGCCTTTTACGGCAAGCATGGGTTGCTGAAGACCTAGCCTATCCCGGATCTTCACGGGTCTTTTGTCGTGTAAGTTCTCTGTTTGCACATCTTATAGCCTCCTAACGCCAATACAGCCATTGCACCACAAGCTTAGCACTATCATGATGGTAATAGTTTATGAATATGAGCAAAGGCTCGTCAAGAATTTGTTAAATTTCATGAGCAGTTTTCAACTGTTGTGATTGTAACCACAGTCGCTGGGTTTGTTTCATTTCTTTTCTGTTTTCTTCCCCCTACCCGCTCGGATTGGTGCTAAACATAAAAATGAGTAACATAAAAATAAAATGAATGGGCTTATATACGCGTCTGACTTGTGAGCCCCAGCTGAAGCAATTGTTTGTTATGTCCCAAGAGGAGTTAACCGCCTCCGTGGTCTAGTGGTAGAGCGTCCGCCCGGAGAGCGGAAGGTCCGTGGTTCGATTCCTGGCCGCGTCATACCAAAAGACGTTGAAAGATGGTACTTGTTGTGACCCTGTCTGGTGCTCGGAATTAAGGGGCTAAAACAAGGACTAGTCGGCTCGGAGTCAGTATGCTGTATCTGAGTGGGGTATTCATGTTAAACTGCGGCATGGTATCTCAGTGGGCTAGCACTACAAATTCTGCATTAGTCCGGACTAGTTCAAGCAGGGACACAAACACACACACACGTGCATGCACGTCGCTATATAAGCGCAATAATCTTGGACGCGACGTTAAACCCCATTTCACCTCACCTCACCAAGAGGAGTTATCTCCCCATTGACTAAGATTCAAGTGGACCATCTCTGCCTGCAGTTTTCTTGTATATTGTTATTCGTCATCAGGTGGAGCACCAGAAACAGCTCCGACCAGCTTTAGGTCACCCCCACCAGGTGGCAGCTTTGCAGGCCCTGTGTGAGAAAGAGGCTGCTCGAAACGCCGACTATCTCGCTGCTGTGCAGGAACAGACTGCAGATCTTCAGGTGAATGTTTCATTCATGTCTTTGACTTAAAACTTAATTATTATTCTCATGTATATTTGAAATTAGTTTAGGCACGGGTCGCCCAGTCGTCTAAGGCGCCGCGATTTGCTGTTCAGAGTTGCGTCCCTTCGGCACGCCAGAAACCTATGATTGTGGGTTCGAATCCCGGTTCGCCCCGATTATGTTTCTAGGTTTGTCAGCACCATACCCGTGCTCGTGGGTTTCACCGAAGTGGTAAACGTCTGAAACCTGCATCACTTCGGGCTTTCCTCCCACATTAAGCTGACACGCCGTGATATAACTGGAATACTGTTAAAAGCGGCGTTAAACCCAACTCACTCACTCACTGAAATTAGTTTATTAAATCTATCCTCTTGCGTTTTAAATTGGTCCTACATATTTAGCACCACAATTTACAAACTTCAGCTTCTAGTGTCAACAAATAGCTTCAGATATGATGAGTTAGTCTTTATTTTCATTTGAAATAATAAACTCATGGAAAATAAATATGTGAGCCCCAATACAAATAAATTGTGAGGATAAGTCTTAATCCATCAAGAGTTATCTCCCCTTTGACCACAGTTCATAATTGACCATCCAAACATTTACAATTTTCTTTCAAATTTCATAAAAATATTCAATCTGAAAATGTCCCCTTAAAAGATGTTTGCTGGTCTGTGTTTAAGTATTAAAATTTAGATGATTTAATCTAAAATCTCCAATTGAAAAACAAGGGGGTGCACTTATGAACTACCGCGCCAAATGCACACTTACTGTGGACTCATGTAGGAAAACGTTATCAAAACGTATGATAAATAGTATTGAACTTTTTAACTCTTTTAACTACCCATGGATAAAACATTGATCTTATGGAAAAGATCATAAATTCTTTCTGTTAGCAGTGTTTGAAATAAGCACCTGCTGTAGGCCTGTAGCAGCTAGATCTTGTGTCAGGCCCAAAGTTTCAAAGTCTGTGGGCCCTGATGGCAGCCTGGCAATTTATTTTATTTCAAACAGTGAATATTTGTGTTCAAATTTTTAGCAGCCTGATTTACCATGGTTTAAGTTGTGCAGTTAACACAAAAATGTCCCAGTAGGCATCCTTAACACCATTTATCCCCTACTGAAGAGTGAGTGAGTGAGTGAGTATGATTTTATGCTGCTGTTAGCAATATTCCAGCATTATCACTGCGGGGGACAACAGAATTGGGCTTTACACATTGTACCCATATCGGGAATCTAACTCGGGTCTACGGTGTGACGAGCGAAGACTTTAACCACTAGGCTACCCAACCGCCCCCTACTGAAGAGGTGTCTTCAGCAATTGTAAGATAAGACAATGAAGATCTGGTTCATTCCTGTGCTCTCTCCTCTTTGACCGTGAGTGTGTTGTGTTTCAGGCATGTGCTGTGGAACATGGCCGACAGTTCCTGGAGCGCTTGGCTGGCATGGGGGAGAGACAACTGCTGCAGTTTGATAACCTGCTGGTCGTGGACGATGTGGAGAAAGGAAGTGGGTGGTGTTTTTTGTTTTGTATGTTTGGGAGATGTTAAGGCTTACATTGTTGAGGCTATGCTTGTTGGTGAAAATTTTGAACCAACTTCCGCCAAATATGTTATGTTTGTCAAAACAACTTCGCCATTAATTTAAATAGTTATTGACCTTGCATGGTCACATGTACAAGCAGTCAATAATATATTGTTTAAGTGGGGGATGGGAAGAGATTGGTAATAAAACGCAATGCAAAAGATGATTGTATTTTTTTGTTAAATAATTATTAGTATTTGGGGTGGGGGTGGGGGAAGGATTACTATTTTTAGACCCAAATTATCTAAGTTATTTGTAACTGCCTCAAAACGGGGGTTAGCATCTCTTTATATACAGTGAAATATTTATATCCGACCAGTTTGTTGATAAAGTTTTTTTCTATACAGCTTTTACATTTGTAATATTCACTCTGTGATTCTGGACAGGATGTCCACAGCAACCTATGCTGGTCATTATGGCGAATAAATGGATCCAGTGGTCAAGCTCGGTGATTTGGATGATTGTGTGTTATCATATCCCGATGGTGTGGATGTTATTGTAATATCAATCACTGGATTGTCTGCTGGACATTCAACTATTTACAGTCCGCAGTCATATAGCTGTAATATGGCCGACTGTGGCGTTAAATAACTATAAACCTAACTGTAATACATAATCAGTGAAGCCAGGATTGTCATGTCTTGCTTGATCTTGTTCCCATACAAATTCTGAAATGTTCTCCCTCTTCAGAGGTAGAAGCTACGAGGCACCCAACAAATGAGTTGATCCGCCGCAAGAATGCTGGACAAAGTTTGTTTGATACGGAGGACAAGAATGCCCTTCCCAGAGGAAAAGGAATATGGACAGGTAAGGTCTTACTTTTTATTAAAAGAGAAAAACTGAAACAGGTTTATGTCTTTTAGATGACAGCAAGGAAAATTTTGTTTGTAGAAAAGAATTCTCAAAACTGCACGGAGATCTATATGGTTTTCTAAGCTGATATACAGTGTACTTACTTTTAAACTTATGAGGAATGGTGGCATATTTATTTTGTATTTCTATTATCGTCAACAATTTTGGAGGATTATCATCACTGTATTAGGTATTATGTTTAGAACAAATCTAGATATAAAAGGTATAACACTTAACGATAAGGAAAATAAACTAGGTCAGTATGCGGACGATGCTCAATTATTTCTAGATGGATCTGAAAAAAGCCTTAATACATCAATGGATACCCTCAACAAATTCTATCAAATGTCAGGACTTAAAATAAATGTAGAAAAAACAAAAGTAATTTGGATAGGATCATTGTCTGAAAGTAATCTAGTTTTAGCACATGACTTTAAACTTGATTGGTATAAGGGAGATTTTGAAAATTTAGGGATAACTTTAAATGCTTCATTGAACGACCTTTGGGTAATCAATACTAGAAAAAGATTAGAATATATTAATAGACTACTAGCTAATTGGCGTAGAAGAACCTTAACTCTTATTGGAAAAATTATGGTTATCAAAACTCTTGCTATATCAACTCTGGTACACATCTTCTCTGCTTTACCTAATCCACCTTAAGCATTTATTACCGACCTAAACACAATAATTTTTAGATTCCTTTGGAATAACAAAAACGACAAAATTAAGAGATCAACTATTAGTAGAAATTATGAAGATGGAGGTCTAAGGATGATAGATATTGAATGTTTTATTAATGCTCTCAAACTATCTTCATTACAAAAGTAAATTAAAAGGCATGAACATTCTACAACAATCTTTCCTCTAAAACATCTTTTCAAACTTGGTTCTAATGCTGTAGACTGTTTGTCTAAACATGATAACCCTTATTTGAGAGATGTATTGTCTGCTTGGAAGATATTTTACCAAAAAATGAGTTTGTATGAATATGATTTGGACCACATTTTGAATCAACCACTCTGGCTGAATCATTTATTTGAATCATCTTATATTATAAAAAATTGGTTTTCTTAGTTTTGAAAATTTCAAACAAAGATATAAGATCCAGGGAACTTTTTTAGACTTTCAAAAATTACTGAACAATATTCCAAAGAGTTGGAGATTTCAAATCAGAGACAAAACCCTTGATGTTAATGTAGTTCAACTGAACAATATATGTAAACACTTTTTTAATGACGTTAAAAAATCAAGGACTTTTTATGATGAACTAATTAGGAAGGATACTGTCCCGAAATCATTAGAACACTGGAATACTGTTTTTCCTCATGGTTTGGATTGGAAAGATATACTTCTATGTTATAGAAAATGCACTCGTGATTGTAAACGTTTAGATTTTCAATATCGATTTATAAACAGAATAATTTACACTAAGAAAGATTACTCAAGATGATACTTGTCGATGAAGATATTTGTACTGTCTGTAAAACTGCTTCTGAAGATATGTCTTATGTATATTTCGATTGCCAATCTGTTCAACAATTTTGGTTTAAAGTTTAAAACTTCCTAAATAACAACCTGCAAACAAATTTCATCCCTTCGAAACTTAATATCTTTTTTGGAATTTCCACTCAAAACCATGTAGCAAATCATATTATTATACTAGCAAAGAGATTCATCTACATATCAAACATAAAACAAGATTTATCTTTCCAACAATTTCTTTCACTACTAAAAGACACAATTTGTTTGGAAAGGTATATCGCTAAAAAAAATAATCAATTTAACCAATATGCTCAGAAATGGCAAAACATACATCTCATAATCTAATGAAGCAGTTGAAACATATTACCTGTTAATTAGTAATCATCTATTTCTTGTAAACAATTATCTATAATCTCCCTCTCAGTTTGAGAAGAACCTCAATAACAACATACCCTACACAATCTGCCTGTCCTCACCTATGAAAATTATAACTTGAGTTAATACTGTCATATATACACATGTTAATATCTACACTTGTAACAATATACGTGAAATGGAATAATAAAAAAAAAGATTTAAAACATTTTTTAAAAATTTGGAGGACTCTGTAAAGTACACGTCTGCATCAAAGTTTGAAAGGAATATTGTCATGGGGGCTGTGCAGCTGTCATCCCCACAAACTCCTCAGCAGCTGCTGAAATTTGCAGCATTCCATGATGGAAAGAAATATGATATCGATTGATAACTCATTGATTTCAATACAAATAGTGTGCATGTTTAACAGGCCTTCCAAGCAATGAACTTGTTGTGGGCCCTAAGCCAACTAAAGCCGAGAAGACAGCGTCAGTAACAACAGCCAAGACTACCCTTGGGCACAGCGCTACCATCGCCGCCAGAGACCAGGCTTACAAGGTAGGTCTTGCCTCAGAGCAGAGGCAGGTGTTCTGTCACACATGCTGACACTTGTATTGTATGGCCTGAAAGTTGACGGACTCTATGATCCTGAAAGGCATTATGTGGGACATGATATTAGGATATGTCTGCATTCCAGTGGATGGACATCACCAACATGTCTGTCAGATCAGGGTTCTAGAACAGGCGTCAGATTAGTCAGGCTTCAGTCATTGACATAGTTTTCTCAAATGGCCAAAAGTGTTCCTGCAATAATGGACAATACAGAACTTATGAAACCCTGGAAATACCCTATGGCCATTTGTCTCAAATTGTCTGAGAGGGCAAGACCAGTTTATTTCATCTTCTGTTAACAGTACTGCTGTAACCATTGTTTATTTCATAATGAATAGGAGCTAGAGACATCCAGAGTTAAGAGATTGACGTAGTATCACAAAGCTTTCTTCATGCTACATCTATTGTTTCAGCCATGTCATTGAAAACAAATGAAATATTCTTCTCATGTATATTTGGGAAAAGAACAATCGGGTTGAGTAAAACATTGATCATTATTATTTTATTACATCTATCCTCTTACATTAGTCCTCAATTCGATTGAAATAAATAACTCATTGAGATTATTACGTGATCCTCAATATAACTTAACATATCGATATATATGATATGAGGGTCCCTGTCTACCATCAAGAGTTATCTCCCCTTGGACCACAGGCAGTCTGTGTTAGTGTGTGGAGTTTTTAGAATGGGTCCCTAGTATAAAAATGAAGGCCTTCTCCCAGCTCAGACTGACCTGACTGGATACCCGTTTATAAGAACAACTGACTTTCACATACTGGGACATATGGAACATCATTACTGGACAGAATGAGAGCAGCTGTAGTCACCTTAGCGTGTAACCAAGGCACGGACAAAGTGGGCTGAAGATGAGGAACTATTCAAGTTACTGTCATCCCACATCATATCAGGACATTAGGGACTGAAGCATTTTATATTGTGGAGGGGGAGGCTGGAACTTTTGTTTAGCTCCATGAGATACATATTTTCTCTTTAAAAAAATTTGGATCCGAGATATATTTTGTTTCATTGAGTGAAAGTTGATTTATTCCATAGAAAGCAATGTCCCAGCTGTGTCCCGCCAGACAGTCTGGGAAACGTTTGGTCCAGGACATGTAAGACACAAGTTGATGTATGAGCAGCGATCCATGTAGACAGGCAACGATGACAAAAATCAGCTAGTTCACAAACTGTAACACATCATCCTCATGTTAGTGTCATCTAAGGCACTACAATTCCCTGTGCAGAGTAGGCATGCCAGAAACCTATGATTGTGGGTTCGAATCCTGGTTCGCCCAGATTATGTTTCCAGGTTTGTCAGCACCATACCCGTGTTCGTGGGTTTCACAGAATTGGAAACATCTAAAACCTGCATCACTTTGTGCTTCCCCACATATTAAGCTGACATGCTATTATATAACTAAAATACTGTTCAAAGCGGCATTTAGCACAATGACACAAAATCAGTTAACTTACAAACTTTAACAAATGATCCTCACTCTAGTGTAACCCAAGTCATCTATGATGTCATAGAGTCACCTGACATACATGGAGTGGTCAGGTTCTGTGACCGAGCTGGCTGTGTGTCATTGTGCTTCCATGACGTGAATCATTGCTCATGTTGCTTTTCAGTGATTGGTTTGCCTTGCCCAGAATTGGTTATTTACAGCCCATGGTGATCTTGTCAGAATATTACCATCAACGGCATTGTGCAGTGTTCACTCACCTTGGTCGGTTCATATGACCAGCGAGGTCCTGTTCTGATATATTCCATTGTTTCCTGAATGTGTGTTTCATTTTCTTTCTCCAGGAGTACAAAGCTAAGTTTGAGCACACATTGGTGTTGATCGAGGCTGAGAAGGCGCGACTACTGCGAGCAGAACAGCGATGGGTTGACAGCTGGAACATGTCCGTGGAGAAAGTCAAACAGCTTTACTAGAACACGGTCACAAGTCAAACAGTCGTAGTAGAACACGGTAACAAGTCAAACGCCTTCCTGAATGCCATGCTGTCATTCCTGAGCGCCATGGTCTATATTTCATGAATTCATATATTTTGTAATGATTCCGTTCCTGTGTATGAAGTGGTCAAAGCTTTAATGAGGAACACAGATTATACTACTTGAACATGTATGTGTGTATTATTAAGGTGTCTTATTTTAAGTTGAACTTTTCCTTTCCTTAAGGTTGATCACAAAATTGCAATACACTGGATTTGTCCCGTTTAAGGTTATTGGAGGTTTTTGTGGAGTGCAAAAGCATCTAATATATTTGTTTGTAGTTAAAGTTTCTCTTTATATCTGATATGAATGTGATATGTAACATATTCCTAATATATATATATGTACATGTTGCTGGAGCTCAGTGATAATGAACTGCTATTGTGGGTCCGTCCATTCTTGTTTTATTTTATACATACTGCTTTTTAGTGCACAAATGTACATTTTACTGAAAGCAAATACGCTGTAAATGTGTGTGACGATGAGCTGTGATATCCATATTTGCCTTGTTGACAATTTTCATGAATAAAGAGTGTCGAGGTTGGTCCAAACCATTAGTTTGTTTGTCACGTGTTTCTTTCCTCACATGGGTACAGTGTGTGAAGTCCAGTTCTGATATCCCCAGTCATTATGCTGCTGAAATATTGCAAACATCAGCATAAACACCATTCTTATACACACGCACGCACACATGCACACACACACACGCGCACGCGCACGCGCACACGCACACGCACATTCAGCAAAGGGATTGTTTATTGACATTTCTCATCCTATTCTGTTCCTTTTTTATCTAGTTCTCTTCAAACTTTATTTATTTGGTTTCTTCACAGTGATACGTAACAGTCACAACATTTTGGGTAGCAGTCAAAATCAAAATCTAACCCTGACACACATTGTCAAGATCTGCTTGAGGTAGACTCAATCCCAAATCAGTTGACTTCGGTTTACCAATAGTATGACATGTCATCTCAAGGTTTCGTTGATAACATTAACGAGATTCGTTTCCACTGTGATCACAATGAAATCTCTGACACTCAATCCCAGCTTCACCTGACTCTGTTCACCGTCATTCTCGTGGACTTGTCATACATCACAAGCATCTTCTTGAGTCTACAAAACTGGTATGGGCGGCCCTATATCTTACATTGGTTCTGGTCATACCATGTCAATGTCAGATCAGGTGTGCATGAACATGTATGTGGGGTCCCACAAGGTTCTTGGACCTATGCAGGTCTCGGTGATCTAATCTGTCGTGCTGTCGATAATCACTACTAGGCTGCCGATGATGCCCAGTTCCTGAAATCGTTCAGTCCCAAACCTGAGATCATTCAAGTTCAATAATGTGTCTCCGACGTGAAATCTTGCATGACCACACGTACATTAAAACTGAATGACAATAAGACTGGTATTTTGTTGGCTGTACATTGAGCTACTGTCATTAGTGGGGACTCACCAATATCTTTCAGTGCTGAAGTGAAAACATCCAGGCCTTTCAGTGTAGAAGAAAACATGTGGGGTACATCGCAAATGGAGACCCGTGAAGATTCCGGGGTAGAATAGGTCTTCAACAACCCATGCTTGCCGTAAAAGGCGACTAACGGGATCGGGTGGTCAGGCTCGCTGACTTGGTTGATGCATGTCATCGATCCCAATTGCGTGGATCGATGCTCATGATATTAATCACTGGATTGCCTGGTCCAGACTCGATTATTTACAGACCGCCTTCATATAGCTGGAATACTGCTGAGTGCGGCGTTAATCAACAAACCAACCAACCAACCAACATCGCAAATGGACGCCATCTCCTGACATCTGAGGCAACATGTCATTAAAGTAAGGTCAATGGTGCTGTCCCGACTCTACTTTTACTGTAGTAGTCTTTTCGGAAAAATGCGATAGGACTTGGTAACCAAACTACAGCAGTATAGAATGCAGCAGCCCGAATCAACAGAAGCAGCAACACTCCCACACCAGTCGCCTCCACTGGTTACTGGTCTCAGCGACTTTCACTTAACGGTGTATTAAAGGGTCAGCGCCATCATACTTTGGTAAGAGAATGTGTACCATCTAGATACCTCAGAGCAGCTTAATGCTCATCATACCAGCTACTAGATGAAAAGGTTTGTTCACTGACGTTGTTCCCATCATACCAGCTTCTCTTTGGAACAATTTACCTCTCTCCATCAAGAAATTTTCAATACTTAGCAGCCTTCAGTCAAGACTAAGAACTTTCTTTTTTCGGGAAATACCATGCGGATGCCTACTTGTAGATATTATGTTTTTCAATCTGCAGTCTGGTTGTACGTGTGTTCAAGGCGAACCGCATCTCCAGCAATGCCCGTGTCTAAGTGCCATGATCGTGTTGTTTATCACTTGTGTGGAAATGTGTAGCGCCGTGAGCAATCATTTCGTTATTGGACATTAGGAGCATTATTACATGGCTTATTATTATTACATGGCTTTCAGAAAACAAAATATGTCATATAAGAAAATGAAAATGGTTTTTGGCTTCTCTTTCTATTATGATCAACATTAGCAGTGCAAAAAAAAATCAATATTTACTCATTTATATAACATCATTGGACCCACTAAAGTCTTTTAAAGTGAACTCTGCTGTAATTTCAACAATGGGTAAACATCACATATTACGTTGTCATACTGGGTTTACACTGTACCGGTAGAGACAGATATTAATCAGTTGACAGTGTGTGTGATTACCCGTTAGGTAAAATGAGGTTGATGACCGCGTCCATCTCCAAATGTTTTGGTAAATCATACGAAAATTGTACCTCTAATTTTCTCCCCGATCCTGGTCCCGTGGTGATTCCGGGTTAGAATTGGTCCCCAGCAAACTATACTAGTCATAAGAGTCGACTTCGTGGATCGAGTGTTCATAATATCAACCACTGAATTATCTGATATGATTAATTATTAACAGGACGCTGTCCTATAACTGGAATATTGCTGTGTGCGGCGGTAAACAACAAACAAACACGTCGCCCTTGCATTTTCTGTACACTGCAAGTCGTATCACATTATTGACAAAACTTCTAGATTTGTTTGAGATATTTCCCAGTCAGCGTTCAAAAGGCCCCTTTCTTTGACTGTACCCAATAGCAGGCTGACATGAAGTGTTCTTCCAATGGATGTGTATTATTACACGACAATAATTTTTACTCCATAGAAAACGATTATAAATGCTTACATATTAGTCTGGAACGCCCTAACACATATCGATTTCAAGATTATTTGGTCTGAGATTATCTACACACATACTATTAATTTGTTTTAAAATATGTCTGATCGGCATATGAAATATTGCACACTTGACGACAATGTCATTGATTTTTCCTTCTGCAAAGCGATAGTATCCGAACTCTTCGAACTTTGTACTTTCAACTATTGTCGACATTAGCTGAACAAATATTTCCAGTACAAGTGTAATTAAATCTTACCATCTTGATTTATAAGGAAAACGTCATTTTCTTCTTCTTGAAGTGTAAGGAAAACGTCATCTCCTTCCTTTTAGTGTGTAAGTAAAACGGCATTTTCTTCCCTTTTCCCAAATGGACCCAGTAGAAACTGTCAAAGTAACTTAGTGGTGATTGTGACAAAGTCTCGCTTAAATATGCAGTGAGGTGAATCACAAAGTGACTTAGTTGAAGAAAGGCTTTAGGCCAAGGAGATACCAGATGTTCCTCACTGAGAGACTTCATAAGCAGCAGGACAAGTGGCCTTGGTCTTCTTGCAGCATGGGTGACTGCTCCTGATAAAAACCCTGACCTGTTTGACAATGTGCACTGTTCTCTCAAGTAAACTGTCTATGAATTTGGCAGTTTTGCATCTGAATGTTCATTTATATAATAGCATTATGTTGTTGATTGCTTTGTGAGGAGGGTTGGCTCATTCCTCTAAGGCACCACAATACGTTGTGCAGAGTTGCATCCCCAAGACAAGAAAACCTATGATCGTGGGTTCGAATGTTTCATGGTTTGTCAGCACCACAGCTGTGCTGGTGGACTTGTTCAAAGTGGTAAACATCCTAGACATGCATCACTTCGGGCTCTCTTCTCACATCACGTTGACATCGTTGTCACTGTGATAGAACTCATATACTATACTGTTCAAGAGGCAGGGAGGTAAACATTCACTCGCTGGTATGGTCAAATGAGAAGGCTTTCAAACGCGTGAGAAGGATATTATTATTAAAACATTATTATCTGTTGTTGTTTTCTCTAACTTCCCAAACACAATATGAATACTATGGAATTACTATGGATAACATGCATGTAAGACATATCTGCATGATATTCCTTCCCGATACAGTTAAACGCCGCTTTGTCCAACGTCTGGTTGTCTCGAAGTAAAAGCTTGGTCACTGCATATTCTTTTTTTAGTGGTAATTTTCGGTTGTGTCGAACTTCTGATAACTCGAAGTATTTACGTAGGTCCCTTCAACTTCGACACAACGGAGTTTGACTGTATTCTGAGAAAGTTATCAGAAGAAAAACTCAAATTCATCTGATTCACCCGTAACACTTAGAATATGAAGAATTGTATTAACAGTGTTTGCATGTGATCAGTGCCTTCAGTTAACAATAGTAAGTACATGGTAGTCGGCAGCAAGCCTGGTCCGAACTTCACCCAAGCATGAAATATTACATGACATACAGACGTACAGACGTACAGATAGCTGGTACGGTATGAGCTACTGCTTGTCTGCAGCAAGTGTGTCATGTGATCTGATCGTCTGACAAATGCTGATGAGGATGCACATACACTTCCTCGTGCTCATTCGTGTCATATTGAAGGGCGCTTGTAGCCCGGTGGTCGAACAACCTCGCTCTGAAGACTTACCTCCCTTAGTCATGCCAGGATCCACTGGTCCTATGTTTGATTCCATCATTCCCTGAAAGTCCAATATTCCCCCGATTGTGCCCCTTTGTTGATACTGTATCCTGGTGTGGTGTTCGTGTTACTTTCGCCTTCTTTCACACAGCTGATATGTGGCGCAATGACGGAAAACTGTTCAAAGCTGTGCCAAGTGACTTGAGAAGCTCATCCGGAGATAGTTCCTTATCAAAGTTAGTATATATTTAATACTATCTAAATCTAAAACATAATCTGCTCTTGTACTGAGTTTCCGTCATGTGATTTGAAACAAATGGGGCACAAATGTATTTTGCTTGTTGAAAGTTTTGTTTATTTCTTAATAGGAGTAGGTGTGTATGTAGTTATGTCATGAAATATATGTCTATATACTCTGTCATAACTGTTGCCGGAAAAAGGTCTACCTTGTGTCATCTTATATGATTTTTTTTTTTTATTGTTGTTGTTGTTGATGATGATGATGATGATGATGATGATATTAATAATAGTATTAATAATATTCATAGTATTATTATTTATTTGAATGCCTACTCCCTGTCAAACCTAGGCAGAAATGGTTTCTTCCTATTACATCATTCAACTGAAGTCATAGACTAACATTTAGTCTCTGAAATCTTATATTACACAATATCCTTCTTGACTCTAAAAATAAAAAAAATTCCCT